CAGACACACATACAGACACACGTACAGACACACATACAGACACGTACAGACACACATACAGACACGTACAGACACACGTACAGACACACATACAGACACACATACAGACACACATACAGACACACATACAGACACATACAGACACATACAGACACACATACAGACACACATACAGACACATACAGACACACATACAGACACACATACAGACACATACAGACACACATACAGACACACATACAGACACACACAGACACATACAGACACATACAGACACACATACAGACACACATACAGACACACATACAGACACATACAGACACATACAGACACACATACAGACACACGTACAGACACACATAAAGACACACATACAGACACACATACAGACACACATACAGACACGTACAGACACACATACAGACACACATACAGACACACACAGACACATACAGACACACATACAGACACATACAGACACATACAGACACACATACAGACACACATACAGACACACGTACAGACACACATAAAGACACACATACAGACACACATACAGACACACATACAGACACACATACAGACACACATACAGACACACATACAGACACACATACAGGCACACATACAGACACACATACAGACACGTACAGACACACATACAGACACACATACAGACACGTACAGACACACATACAGACACGTACAGACACACATACAGACACACATACAGACACACATACAGACACACATACAGACACACATACAGACACGTACAGACACACATACAGACACGTACAGACACACATACAGACATGTACAGACGCACATACAGACACACATACAGACACACATACAGACACGTACAGACACACATACAGACACGTACAGACACACATACAGACACGTACAGACACACATACAGACACGTACAGACACACATACAGACACACATACAGACACACATACAGACACACATACAGACACATACAGACACATACAGACACACATACAGACACACATACAGACACATACAGACACATACAGACACATACAGACACATACAGACACACATACAGACACACATACAGACACACACAGACAAAGACACACATACAGACACACATACAAACACACATACAGACACACATACAGACACACGTACAGACACACATACAGACACGTACAGACACACATACAGACACACATACAGACACACATACAGACACACATACAGACACACATACAGACACACATACAGACACGTACAGACACACATACAGACACGTACAGACACACGTACAGACACACATACAGACACACATACAGACACACATACAGACACACATACAGACACACATACAGACACACATACAGACACATACAGACACATACAGACACACATACAGACACACACATGCAGACACGTACAGACACACATACAGACACGTACAGACACACGTACAGACACACATACAGACACACATACAGACACACATACAGACACACAAACAGACACATACAGACACATACAGACACATACAGACACACATACAGACACACATACAGACACATACAGACACACATACAGACACACATACAGACACATACAGACACACATACAGACACACATACAGACACACACAGACACATACAGACACATACAGACACACATACAGACACACATACAGACACACATACAGACACATACAGACACATACAGACACACATACAGACACACGTACAGACACACATAAAGACACACATACAGACACACATACAGACACGTACAGACACACATACAGACACACATACAGACACACACAGACACATACAGACACACATACAGACACAGACAGACACATACAGACACACATACAGACACACATACAGACACACATACAGACACACGTACAGACACACATACAGACACACATACAGACACACATACAGACACACATACAGACACACATACAGACACACGTACAGACACACGTACAGACACACATACAGACACACATACAGACACACATACAGGCACACATACAGACACACATACAGACACGTACAGACACACATACAGACACACATACAGACACGTACAGACACACATACAGACACGTACAGACACACATACAGACACACATACAGACACACATACAGACACACATACAGACACGTACAGACACACATACAGACACGTACAGACACACATACAGACATGTACAGACGCACATACAGACACACATACAGACACACATACAGACACGTACAGACACACATACAGACACGTACAGACACACATACAGACACGTACAGACACACATACAGACACGTACAGACACACATACAGACACACATACAGACACACATACAGACACACATACAGACACACATACAGACACACATACAGACACATACAGACACATACAGACACATACAGACACACATACAGACACACATACAGACACATACAGACACACATACAAACACACATACAGACACACATACAGACACACGTACAGACACACATACAGACACACATACAGACACGTACAGACACACATACAGACACACATACAGACACACATACAGACACACATACAGACACACGTACAGACACACATACAGACACGTACAGACACACATACAGACACGTACAGACACACGTACAGACACACATACAGACACACATACAGACACACATACAGACACACATACAGACACACATACAGACACACATACAGACACACATACAGACACATACAGACACATACAGACACACATACAGACACACATACAGACACATACAGACACACATACAGACACATACAGACACACATAAAGACACATACAGACACACATACAGACACACATACAGACACATACAGACACATACAGACACATACAGACACATACAGACACACATACAGACACACGTACAGACACACATACAGACACACATACAGACACACATACAGACACGTACAGACACACATACAGACACACACACAGACACATACAGACACACATACAGACACACATACAGACACACGTACAGACACATACAGACACACACAGACACACAGACACACACAGACACATACAGACACACATACAGACACACATACAGACACACATACAGACACATACAGACACACATACAGACACACATACAGACACACATACAGACACATACAGACACACAAACAGACACACATACAGACACACGTACAGACACACATAAAGACACACATACAGACACACATACAGACACACGTACAGACACACATACAGACACACATACAGACACACATACAGGCACACATACAGACACACATACAGACACGTACAGACACACATACAGACACACATACAGACACGTACAGACACACATACAGACACGTACAGACACACATACAGACACACATACAGACACACATACAGACACACATACAGACACACATACAGACACACATACAGACACACATACAGACACACATACAGACACATACAGACACACATACAGACACACATACAGACACACATACAGACACACATACAGACACATACAGACACATACAGACACATACAGACACATACAGACACATACAGACACATACAGACACATACAGACACATACAGACACACATACAGACACATACAGACACACATACAGACACACATACAGACACACATACAGACACACATACAGACACACATACAGACACATACAGACACACATACAGACACACATACAGACACACATACAGACACATACAGACACACATACAGACACACATACAGACACATACAGACACACATACAGACACACATACAGACACATACAGACACACATACAGACACACATACAGACACATACAGACACACATACAGACACACATGCAGACACACATGCAGACACACATACAGACACACAGACACACATGCAGACACACATACAGACACACATACAGACACACATACAGACACACACAGACACATACAGACACATACAGACACACATACAGACACACATACAGACACACATACAGACACATACAGACACACATACAGACACACATACAGACACACATGCAGACACACATGCAGACACACATACAGACACACATACAGACACATACAGACACACATACAGACACACATGCAGACACACATGCAGACACACATACAGACACACATACAGACACACATGCAGACACACATACAGACACACATACAGACACACATACAGACACACATACAGACACACACAGACACATACAGACACATACAGACACATACAGACACACATACAGACACACATACAGACACACATACAGACACATACAGACACACATACAGACACACATACAGACACACATGCAGACACACATACAGACACACATGCAGACACACATACAGACACACATGCAGACACACATACAGACACACATACAGACACACATACAGACACACATACAGACACACATAGACACACATACAGACACACATACAGACACACATACAGACACACATACAGACACGTACAGACACACATACAGACACACATACAGACACACATACAGACACACATACAGACACACATACAGACACGTACAGACACATACTCAGACTGTTGCTAATTAACAGCATTATTTTTTTGAGCGTGAAACAAAAACCATTATTTTCTCCAAAACGTGCGCTTGCCCTTTGAACGTGACGCAGCCTCCAGCGCTCAGGCCACACTGACATTTCCATTTCTGCTCCTCATTAAAGACGGGGGTATTTTCATCTGAATACGAGATGATTGTTCCATGTTCAGGAGAATAAACGTTTGTGACGAGGCTCGACACACGACACTAACGCAGCAGTTTCATAGTTTTACTGAAAGATGGAATAAACTGGGATTAAACAATACACGTAGATTGTCCCAAAACCATACATTTGTCAAGAGTTTAAACACAGGAAATGCCAAAACCCCACAGAGGCATTGGTCCATGAGGATTTATGTAAATGAAATGAAAAAACATGTTAACCAAAAACAAATGTGACCTTTTTAAGAATATTCGCCACCACCAAGTTTTTGAATTGTTGTCATAGATCTAGAATTTGAGGACTCTGTGTCAATGCGCCATCTTGAACTACAGAGGCTGATAAGGGACAAAAAGGAGTTTGAGCAGGAGCTGGGGACCACTGTCAAAGACCACATATTGTCCTGTGAAGCCAAAGTAGTACCAAAAATTACAATATATGATCTGGTGCATACTGGTTTTCTTTCTCCAAAAAGACCTTTGCCAATGCAGGACAATGTACCTGTTTTTATTTTCATATAAAAAAATACTGTACTGACGTGGTGTTTGATGTGTCACTTCCGCTAACTCATTGACTGCCATATTTGTCTGAGACCCTGTATTTGACTGGGGATTACAGGACAATAAAAACAGCTAAAGACAAACTTAATCTTGCTGATGAAAGTAGACAATCCAGTCTTTAAGAATCTGGTTTCATATTTCACATAGTCTTAGGAAATAATATTCTGTGGGTTCTTGAGAATCAGTGAAATCATCAAAAACGGATGACAGTCAATGAGTTAATGGTGCAAATGTAGCTGGTGAGATGGTAAACATGTGTCATTCAGCCAACTTCAGCTCCTTTATAGATCATCATAAAGCTCAGAACAGCCCCATGCCAGTCAAGACAGTTTTCAGTCCGTGATGCCGGCCTCTGGACTAGTCTGGTGAACTAAAGCGGCTGTTTTAACCGTTAGCTTCCATCACTCATTCACATTCATCTGTTTGACAATAACCAAGTGTCCTGTAGCTACTAAAACTTGAGTCAAAATGATAAGTCCATAAACTGCTCTGACAACAGCCCGACTCCATCACAATAAAAACACACAGATTAGCCGCATCGCTAAATAAGCCGCAGGGATCAAAGAAAAATGTAGTGTTTCATAATCCAGAATTCACAGTAGTTTCAATTTTTGCTGTGGTTTGAAAGTGAAGCTTTAAGCAGCTTCTATTGAGATGTTTCCTGATTAAACTCCGAGCACGTCCCGACCGCAGCTGTAGGGAAGCGGCGGTAGATTAGCAGTGCATTGTGGGATTTACTCTAATCTGGCTCGTTTTGCCGGGGGCTCCGTTTTGTTGTTCCTCTTAAAACAATGGGCCCGGCTCGGCTCCTGCGGCCCCCGGTGCAGAACTCACTGATGCCTCTGTCTCCTCTCCCAGTCGCTGGATCTGGCTCTGAAGTACTGCAACTACTTCTTCACCTCCATGTTCGTGCTGGAGGCCGTGCTCAAACTCACCGCCTTTGGATTCCGTCGCTTCTTCAAGGACAGGTGCGGTGTGGGCTGTGGGCTTTGTGTGTATCTGGAGAATGTGATACAACTATACATATGGGGTAAGGTTACTGTCAATAAAGACGTGTATGTCTAAAAAAAATGCGTGCATATTTATTGGTATTTGTGCATACAAATATTTTATTAATTCATGATTAAGATAATACAAACTAAAAAGACATGGAATTTCGTAATTAAGAATAAAAAATATATAAAACTATGTGTGATTTTGTACTTGTGAATGCGATTTTTTTTTTTGTGCTTGCATTTTCTTTTTGAGAATACGAATTTCAGCAGTGAGCAAACTGTCAATAATACGTCACTGCTCACAGACATTAACAATCGAGCCTGCACAGAGTTGATCAACTTCATTGCCTAAAAACTAAACATGGCAGAAGGACACAACATAAACAAAGCGGCTCAAAATCAAGTATATAACTATATTTTATCATTTTGGTTGTAAATGAATCTGTAAGAAATATTATTTCCATAAATGTGTTCATAAGAAGATGTTTCTTGTCCCTCTAAAGGTTTTTTGGCAGTGTTGTTAGCTCCAATGCTAGTTTTATTTTCTTATCCTTATATTGTTTTATTCTACAGAAAATAATGCATTTATTTTAGTCTAAACAACAGACTAACTAGTCTTACTGAACTAGTGAGTAAAAGTAATGTGTCAAATGTACAAATATAGGATTGAGGTCCACAGGGACAGGGTCTGCTACGTCTAACAACCAAGATGAGTACAGCACGGAGGTGAACTTCGTATTGCTCAGGGGCAGTAACAGCGCGAACTATGAATAATCTGGAGGGTTGGGGCTGGTATCAACACTTTAACCACATTGATTTGGGGCAAAGGCTTCATAAAATGTAACTGCTAAGAATGTAAAAATGTTGGTTTTAAAATAACATGGTAAGCTGTAAAACTAGCCTTGAAGCTAGTGTTAACTAAACACTGCCTAAAAAAACGTTTCTAGAGAGGGACAAGAAACATCTTATGAACACATTTTATGGAATTAATATTTCTTACACATTTATTTACGACCAAAATGATCAAATATAGTTATTTACCTGATTTTGAGCCAAATTGTTAATGTTGTTGCCCTCTGCCATGATCAACTCTGCGCAGCTCGATTGTTAATGTCTGTGAGCAGTGACGTCATATTGACAGTTTGCTCACTGCTGAAATTCGTATTCTCAAAAAGAAAAAGCAAGCACACAAAAAAAAATCGTATTCACAAGTACAAAATCACACATACAGTTTTATATTTTTTTATTCTTAATTACGAAATTCCATGTCTTTTTAGTTTGTATTATCTTAATCATGAATTCATAAAAATAAATTATGCATAAATACCAATAAATATGCACGCATTTTTTTTAGACATGCACGTCTTTATTGACAGTAACCTTACCCCATACATACAACATACATGGATCACATTATCACACATATGAACACATCAGGGGCGACAGTGGCGGTAAAGCATTGGCCTCTGAAGGTTGTAGGTTCGAGCCCACAACAAGACCTACTCCAACTTCTCCCACTGATGTCTGCGTGTCCCACACACACACACAAACACAGACACACACACACACGCACGCACACACACGTCTATGTCAATTAAAATGCTATCATTTTTGCTGGTTGTATAAATCCCTCTTTGATCGAGCGGCGGCAGCAGCTTTGATGTAAGGAATCTGAAAATGTGTCCGGTCCTCGAGGCGTGTTCTCTCTGTGCACGTCACATCTTTATCACTTCATTACAACCTCACACTAATAACACAACCTCACATTAATAACACACAACCTCACAATAATAACACACAACCTCACATTAATCACACACAACCTCACATTAATCACACAACCTCACATTAATCACACACAACCTCACATTAATCACACACAACCTCACATTAATCACACACAACCTCACATTAATAACACACAACCTCACATTAATAACACACAACCTCACATTAATCACACACAACCTCACATTAATCCCACACAACCTCACTTTAATAACACACAACCTCACAATAATAACACACAACCTCACATTAATAACACACAACCTCACATTAATCACACACAACCTCACTTTAATAACACACAACCTCACTTTAATAACACACAACCTCACATTAATCACACACAACCTCACATTAATAACACACAACCTCACATTAATAACACACAACCTCACATTAATAACACACAACCTCACATTAATCCCACACAACCTCACTTTAATAACACACAACCTCACATTAATAACACACAACCTCACATTAATAACACACAACCTCACATTAATAACACACAACTTCACATTAATAACACACAACCTCACATTAATAACACACAACCTCACATTAATCCCACACAACCTCACTTTAATAACACACAACCTCACATTAATAACACACAACCTCACATTAATCACACACAACCTCACATTAATAACACACAACCTCACATTAATCCCACACAACCTCACATTAATAACACACAACCTCACATTAATCACACACAACCTCACATTAATAACACACAACCTCACATTAATCCCACACAACCTCACATTAATAACACACAACCTCACATTAATAACACACAACCTCACATTAATCCCACACAACCTCACTTTAATCACACACAACCTCACATTAATCACACACAACCTCACATTAATCACACACAACCTCACTTTAATCACATACAACCTCACATTAATCACACACAACCTCACATTAATAACACACAACTTCACATTAATCACACACAACTTCACATTAATAACACACAACCTCACATTAATAACACACAACCTCACATTAATCACACACAACCTCACATTAATAACACACAACCTCACATTAATCCCACACAACCTCACATTAATAACACACAACCTCACATTAATAACACACAACCTCACATTAATCCCACACAACCTCACTTTAATCACACACAACCTCACATTAATCACACACAACCTCACATTAATCACACACAACCTCACTTTAATCACATACAACCTCACATTAATCACACACAACCTCACATTAATAACACACAACTTCACATTAATCACACACAACTTCACATTAATAACACACAACCTCACATTAATAACACACAACCTCACATTAATCACACACAACCTCACATTAATAACACACAACCTCACATTAATAACACACAACCTCACATTAATAACACACAACCTCACATTAATCCCACACAACCTCACTTTAATAACACACAACCTCACATTAATAACACACAACCTCACATTAATCACACACAACCTCACATTAATAACACACAACCTCACATTAATCCCACACAACCTCACATTAATAACACACAACCTCACATTAATAACACACAACCTCACATTAATCCCACACAACCTCACTTTAATCACACACAACCTCACATTAATCACACACAACCTCACTTTAATCACATACAACCTCACATTAATCACACACAACCTCACATTAATAACACACAACTTCACATTAATCACACACAACTTCACATTAATAACACACAACCTCACATTAATAACACACAACCTCACATTAATCACACACAACCTCACATTAATAACACACAACCTCACATTAATCCCACACAACCTCACTTTAATCACACACAACCTCACATTAATCACACACAACCTCACATTAATCACACACAACCTCACATTAATAACACACAACTTCACATTAATCACACACAACCTCACATTAATAACACACAACCTCACATTAACACACCTCACATTAATAACACACACCTCACATTAATAACACACACACACCAACTCACATTAATACACACAACCTCACATTAAAACACACAACCTCACATTATATACACACAACCTCACATTAATAACACACAACCACATCACATTATACACACACCACATAACCACACACACAACCTCACATTAATAACACACAACCTCACATTAATAACACACACACCTCACATTAATAACACACAACCTCACATTAATCCCACACAACCTCACTTTAATAACACACAACCTCACATTAATAACACACAACCTCACTTTAATCACACACAACCTCACATTAATCACACACAACCTCACATTAATAACACACAACTTCACATTAATCACACACAACTTCACATTAATAACACACAACTTCACATTAATCACACACAACCTCACATTAATCCCACACAACCTCTCTCCTCTCTCCTCTGTCCTCTCTCCTCTGTCCTCTGTCCTCTCTCCTCTGTCCTCTGTCCTCTGTCCTCTGTCCTCTCTCCTCTGTCCTCTCTCCTCTGTCCTCTGTCCTCTGTCCTCTGTCCTCTCTCCTCTGTCCTCTCTCCTCTGTCCTCTGTCCTCTCTCCTCTGTCCTCTGTCCTCTGTCCTCTCTCCTCTCTCCTCTGTCCTCTCTCCTCTGTCCTCTCTCCTCTGTCCTCTGTCCTCTCTCCTCTGTCCTCTGTCCTCTCTCCTCTGTCCTCTCTCCTCTCTCCTCTGTCCTCTGTCCTCTGTCCTCTCTCCTCTGTCCTCTCTCCTCTGTCCTCTCTCCTCTGTCCTCTCTCCTCTCTCCTCTGTCCTCTCTCCTCTCTCCTCTGTCCTCCTCTGTCCTCTCTGCTCTGTCCTCTCTGCTCTGTCCTCTCTCCTCTGTCCTCTCTCCTCTGTCCTCTCTCCTCTGTCCTCTCTCCTCTGTCCTCTCTCCTCTCTCCTCTGTCCTCTCTCCTCTGTCCTCTCTGCTCTGTCCTCTCTCCTCTGTCCTCTCTCCTCTGTCCTCTCTCATCTGTCCTCTCTGCTCTGTCCTCTCTCCTCTGTCCTCTCGCCTCTGTCCTCTCGCCTCTCTCCTCTGTCCTCTCTGCTCTGTCCTCCCTAATCTCTCTGCTCTGTCCTCTCTGCTCTGTCCTCTGCTCTGTCCTCTCTGCTCTGTCCTCTCTGCTCTGTCCTCCCTAATCTCTCTGCTCTGTCCTCTCTCCTCTGTCCTCTGCTCTGTCCTCTGCTCTGTCCTCTCTGCTCTGTCCTCTGTCCTCTGTCTCTCTGCTCTGTCCTCTCTCCTCTGTCCTCTCTCTCTGTCCTCTCTCCTCTGTCCTCTCTCCTCTGTCCCTCTGCTCTGTCCTCTCTCTTCTGTCCTCTGTCCTCTGTCCTCTGTCCTCTGCTCTGTCCTCTCTCCTCTGTCCTCTCTGCTCTGTCCTCTCTCCTCTGTCCTCTCTGCTCTGTCCTCTCTCCTCTGTCCTCTCGCCTCTCTCCTCTGCTCTGTCCTCTCTCCTCTCCTCTGTCCTCTCTCCTCTGTCCTCTGCTCTGTCCTCTCTCTCCTCTCTCCTCTGTCCTCTCTCCTCTGTCCTCTCTCCTCTGTCCTCTCTCCTCTCTGCTCTGTCCTCTGTCCTCTGTCCTCTCTCCTCTCTCCTCTGTCCTCTCTCCTCTGTCCTCTCTCTGCTCTGTCCTCTCTCCTCTGTCCTCTCTGCTCTGTCCTCTCTCCTCTCTCCTCTGTCCTCTCTCCTCTGTCCTCTCTGCTCTGTCCTCTCTCCTCTGTCCTCTCGCCTCTCTCCTCTCTCCTCTGTCCTCTCTCCTCTGTCCTCTCTGCTCTGTCCTCTCTCCTCTGTCCTCTCGCCTCTCTCCTCTCTCCTCTGTCCTCTCTCCTCTGTCCTCTCTGCTCTGTCCTCTCTCCTCTGTCCTCTCGCCTCTCTCCTCTCTCCTCTGTCCTTTCTCCTCTGTCCTCTCTGCTCTGTCCTCACTCTTGTGTCCTCTCTTCAGGTGGAACCAGCTGGACCTGGCCATTGTGCTGCTGTCCATCATGGGCATCACTCTGGAGGAGATCGAGATCAGTGCCGCGCTGCCCATCAACCCGACCATCATCCGGATCATGAGAGTTCTGCGGATCGCCCGAGGTACCACACACTCTGACACAGGAGAGGTGACAGAGACGGGTGACAGAGACGGGTGACAGAGACAGGTGACAGAGACAGGTGACAGAGACAGGTGACAGAGACGGGTGACAGAGACAGGTGACAGAGACGGGTGACAGAGACAGGTGACAGAGACAGGTGACAGAGACGGGTGACAGAGACAGGTGACAGAGACAGGTGACAAAGACGGGTGACAGAGACAGGTGACAGAGACAGGTGACAGAGACAGGTGACAGAGACAGGTGACAGAGACAGGTGACAGAGACAGGTGACAGAGACAGGTGACAGAGACAGGTGACAGAGACAGGTGACAGAGACAGGTGACAGAGACAGGTGACAGAGACAGGTGAGGTGACAGAGACAGGTGACAGAGACAGGTGAGGTGACAGAGACAGAGACAGGTGACAGAGACAGGTGACAGAGACTGGTGACAGAGACAGGTGACAGAGACAGGTGACAGAGACAGGTGACAGAGACGGGTGACAGAGACAGGTGACAGAGACGGTGACAGAGACGGTGACAGAGACAGGTGACAGAGACAGGTGACAGACACAGGCAGAGACAGTGACAGACTGAGGTGACAGAGACAGGTGACAGAGGGACAGACACGTGACAGAGACAGGTGACAGAGACAGGTGACAGAGACAGGTGACAGACACAGGTGACAGACACAGGTGACAGAGACAGGTGACAGAGACAGGTGACAGAGACAGGTGACAGAGACAGGTGACAGAGACAGGTGACAGAGACAGGTGACAGAGACAGGTGACAGGTGACAGACACAGGTGACAGAGACGGGTGACAGAGACGGGTGACAGAGACGGGTGACAGAGACGGGTGACAGAGACGGGTGACAGAGACGGGTGACAGAGACAGGTGACAGAGACAGGTGAGGTGACAGAGACAGGTGACAGAGACAGTGACAGAGACAGGTGAGGTGACAAAGACAGGTGACAGAGACAGGTGACAGAGACAGGTGACAGAGACAGGTGACAGACACAGGTGACGGACACAGGTGACAGACACAGGTGACAGACACGGGTGACAGAGACAGGTGACAGAGACAGGTGAGGTGACAGAGACAGGTGACAGAGACAGGTGACAGAGACAGGTGACAAAGACAGGTGACAGAGACAGGTGACAGAGACAGGTGACAGACACAGGTGACAAAGACAGGTGACAGAGACAGGTGACAGAGACAGGTGACAGAGACAGGTGACAGACACAGGTGACGGACACAGGTGACAGACACAGGTGACAGACACAGGTGACAGACACAGGTGACAGAGACAGGTGACAGAGACAGGTGACAGAGACAGGTGACAGAGACAGGTGACAGAGACAGGTGACAGAGACAGGTGACAGACACAGGTGACAGACACAGGTGACAGACACAGGTGACAGAGACAGGTAACAGAGACAGGTGACAGACACAGGTGACAGACACAGGTGACAGACACAGGTGATAGAGACAGGTGACAGAGACAGGTGACAGAGACAGGTGACAGAGACAGGTGACAGAGACAGGTGACAGACACAGGTGACAGAGACAGGTGACAGAGACAGGTGACAGAGACAGGTGACAGAGACAGGTGACAGACACAGGTGACAGACACAGGTGACAGACACAGGTGACAGAGACAGGTGACAGACACAGGTGACAGACACAGGTGACAGAGACAGGTGACAGAGACAGGTGACAGACACAGGTGACAGAGACAGGTGACAGAGACAGGTGACAGGTGACAGAGACAGGTGACAGAGACAGGTGACAGAGACAGGTGACAGAGACAGGTGACAGAGACAGGTGACAGACACAGGTGACAGAGACAGGTGACAGGTGACAGAGACGGGTGACAGAGACGGGTGACAGAGACAGGTGAGGTGACAGAGACAGGTGACAGAGACAGGTGACAGAGACAGGTGACAGACACAGGTGACAGAGACAGGTGACAGAGACAGGTGACAGAGACAGGTGACAGACACAGGTGACAGAGACAGGTGACAGACACAGGTGACAGAGACAGGTGACAGAGACAGGTGACAGAGACAGGTGACAGACACAGGTGACAGAGACAGGTGATAGAGACAGGTGACAGAGACAGGTGACAGAGACAGGTGACAGAGACAGGTGACAGACACAGGTGACAGACACAGGTGACAGAGACAGGTGACAGAGACAGGTGACAGAGACAGGTGACAGAGACAGGTGACAGAGACAGGTGACAGACACAGGTGACAGAGACAGGTGACAGAGACAGGTGACAGAGACATGTGACAGAGACAGGTGACAGACACAGGTGACAGAGACAGGTGACAGAGACAGGTGACAGACACAGGTGACAGAGACAGGTGACAGACACAGGTGACAGAGACAGGTGACAGAGACAGGTGACAGAGACAGGTGACAGACACAGGTGACAGAGACAGGTGACAGAGACAGGTGACAGAGACAGGTGACAGAGACAGGTGACAGAGACAGGTGACAGAGACAGGTGACAGACACAGGTGACAGAGACAGGTGACAGAGACAGGTGACAGAGACAGGTGACAGAGACAGGTGACAGACACAGGTGACAGAGACAGGTGACAGAGACAGGTGACAGACACAGGTGACAGAGACAGGTGACAGAGACAGGTGACAGAGACAGGTGACAGAGACAGGTGACAGAGACAGGTGACAGAGACAGGTGACAGAGACAGGTGACAGAGACAGGTGACAGAGACAGGTGACAGAGACAGGTGACAGAGACAGGTGACAGAGACAGGTGACAGAGACAGGGACAGAGACAGGTGACAGAGACAGGTGACAGAGACAGGTGACAGAGACAGGTGACAGAGACAGGTGACAGAGACAGGTGACAGAGACAGGTGACAGAGACAGGTGACAGAGACGGGTGACAGAGACAGGTGACAGAGACAGGTGACAGAGACAGGTGACAGAGACAGGTGACAGAGACAGGTGACAGAGACAGGTGACAGAGACAGGTGACAGAGACGGGTGACAGAGACAGGTGACAGAGACAGGTGACAGAGACAGGTGACAGGACAGGTGACAGAGACAGGTGACAGAGACAGGTGACAGAGACAGGTGACAGAGACAGGTGACAGAGACAGGTGACAGAGACGGTGACAGAGACGGGTGACAGAGACAGGTGACAGAGACAGGTGACAGAGACGGGTGACAGAGACAGGTGACAGAGACAGGTGACAGAGACAGGTGACAGAGACAGGTGAGGTGACAGAGACAGGTGACAGAGACAGGTGACAGAGACAGGTGACAGAGACAGGTGACAGAGACAGGTGACAGAGACAGGTGACAGAGACGGGTGACAGAGACAGGTGACAGAGACAGGTGACAGAGACAGGTGACAGAGACAGGTGACAGAGACAGGTGACAGAGACAGGTGACAGAGACAGGGTGACAGAGACAGGTGACAGAGACAGGGAAGGGATGTTTGGATATCTCCCCTGTCAATCATCTCTTGGAGGCGGGCTCTGTAACTCAAGCAATGAAAAGAACGACTTTGGACACTTTGAATGTTTAAACAATAGAAAAGTCGGTAAGCGTAAAATGGGACCTTTAAGAAGCGGTGCTAAAATGCTGTGTGTAGAAATAAAGCAGGCGTTGGGTCACATCTAGGGCTGGATATGGCTGAAAACTGTACACACACAGAAAACACTCTCTGACCCTACACCCCTCTCCACTTCTCCTTCTGTTTCCTGTTTGCCTCAGTGCTGAAGCTGCTGAAGATGGCCACCGGGATGAGAGCGCTCCTGGATACTGTCGTCCAAGCCCTGCCTCAGGTACTGCGCACACACACACACACACACACACACACACACACACACACACACACACACACATGCACACACACACACACACACACACACACACATACACACACATACACGCAGACACACACACACACACATTAACACAGTACAAATGTCCTTTTTCGGTCGCTTCCCAAACAACTTTTAATGGCGGTTAAACGGGCGACACAATGGCTGAGAAGTAGCAAGAAGGTCCTGGGTTCGAATCCCGGTCGTAACAGGGTCTTTCTGAGTGGAGTTTGCATGTTCTCCTCGTGTCAGCATAGGTTTCCTCCGGGTGCTCCGGTTTCCCCTACCACTAAAAACATGTACAATAGGTCTGAATGTAAATGAGTGAATGGTTTAATGGATGGTGTTTGGTCGGAGGCTTTGATGGACCAGTGTGTTCTGGACTCGCTTCCGTCATCACCGTGGAAATATCTAAATTCTGAACATTGTGAAATGCATTGGGTCTGTACCTTGGTCTGTAAAATGTTCTATATAAATAAACATTACTTACTTAAAGTTCAGTCCATTTTATCAAGGTGCTGGTCTTGGACTGGTCCTGGACTGGTCTTGGACTGGTCCTGGACTGGTCCTGGACTGGTTCTGAGCTTGGTAGCCCAACTAGATCCTAGATTTTATTGTATTTAAAGTATTAAGAATGTAGTGAAGTGGAATGTATTAAAAGTAAAACCTCATAAAATTACTTTTAATAAAACTTATGGAAAACAAAAACTTTTTGGGAAATATTTCAGAATTCCATTGATGCTCTGGGAGTTCTGGTAGTTTCAGACTTTAGGGAGTCCCAGTGTTAAGACCCTGGAGTGGGATCACACACATTCACCTCTAACCCTGTGTTTTAGAGTTCTTTTTACTCTGTGCGAAGCTGAACTGAAAAGCCCTGAGCTCAGTATGAGAGTTTTAGCAAAAGGTGTGAATACGTTTGTGGATAATTTGATGTATATGTTGTATTTTTAAATCAAATGACAAAGACATAAAAATAGACACATTTTGTAATAAGGCTTTAGCATCGAAGGCGTGAACGGGTGAAATACTTTCTAGATGAGTTCTGTCTTCACTTGAAACATCCCCATCTTAAAATCCCACAAATCCCACATAATCCAGGACCAAACTCTCTTGTCCCCAGTTTAACATGATTCAGAGCAGAAACGTGCAACCCGCCCCTGCCCGTCTGTGGTCGCATACGGTTCTACGTCTAGATGACTCATTTATGCTCAAACTGAAGCATAGAGCCTGCCAGAGAGCGCCGCAGGGGGTGGTGTGTTTGTGGCTCAGCACCATGGAGAGCACCATGTGGCTCAGCACCATGGAGGGCACCATGTGGCTCAGCACCATGGAGGGCACCATGTGGCTCAGCACCATGGAGAGCACCATGTGGTTCAGCACCATGGAGAGCACCATGTGGTTCAGCACCATGGAGAGCACCATGTGGTTCAGCACCATGGAGAGTACCATGTGGCTCGGCACCATGGAGAGCACCATGTGGTTCTGTACCATGGAGAGCACCATGTGGTTCAGCATCATGGAGAGCACCATGTGGCTCAGCACCATGGAGAGCACCATGTGGGTCAGCACCATGGAGAGCACCACACAGTCAGCTCCACACACAGCACATTTACAAGGAAAGTTCTGAGTAGATTTTAACATGTTAATCCTTCACGATATCCTGTAAGAACACTTCATAATGGTCATGTATGGTTGTATATACTTATTTTTAATATTTATTTTTGATCGTCGCCCACACTTTGTATTGTCTCATCATCCCTACACTAGATTTGTTCTTGGTTTGTGTCATTGGTTCTCAACTGATGGCTTGTGGGAACATTTTTAGTGGGTCACAAGCCTTTTCTGGGCATTATTAATTCCAAAATGTAACTGAATGACTGTGTACTAATCCAGAGAGCAGAAAGGTAACTGTCAGATTTGTAGTCTAGTGTAGAGATTATTTCGCTGCTATTCCCGGAGCAATGCACATGAAACAAAAACAGTCACCACATTTACTCTGCCTGTACAGTATCAACTATTGTCTGGTTTTTTGAGGCACGGTGGTGCAGTAGTTAGCGCTAGTGTTTCTCAGCAAGAAGTTCCACCTCCAGTCTTTTCTGTGTGGAGTTTGCATGTTCTCCCCGTGTTTGCATAGGTTTCCTCCAGGTACTCAGGTTTCCTCTACCACTAAAAACTTTAACAATAGGTCTTGCATACACACCTCCTGTGGGTGACCCTGCTCCCATCTCTGTGAGGAGTGACAGGAGAAAGCCCACAACTATTCTAAAGCGCTTGTCTGTGAAAGGTGCTATATAAATAAGCATTACTATTACTGCTCACTAAAGGTGTCGAGAAGTGGTGACAATATTCAAAAACCTGATCTTGGTCTGTAGAAAGTATGGAGCTATTATTGTTTCAATAATAGTGTGTGCGTAAAAAGATTTGTGTGTGCGTAAAAAGATTTGTGCGTGCGTAACCAGATTTGTGCGTGCGTAACCAGATTTGTGTGTGCGTGACCAGATTTGTGCGTGCGTAACCAGATTTGTGTGTGTGTAAAAGAAATATTTGTGCGTGTGTAAATAGATTTGTATGTACGTATCAAGATTTGTGTGTGCGTAAAAAGATTTGTGTGTGCGTAGAAAGATTTGTGTGTGTGTAAAGAAAAAAAAAAGTACGTTTTACACACAAGTTTTTTTTTTACACACGAATCTTTTGACGCAGTCCTGCCTTCGCAGATTCGCAAGTGTAACTTGGACTGTGTGCGTGCGTAAACAGATTTGTGTGTGTGTAATTTGACATTTGTATCTGTAGCAGAACAATCTGTGTGTAAATAACCGCGTTGTACAAAGAGAAGACCGGGAAAAAGCCTAAGTGCTACGCACAGGCTCTGTTTTACACACGAATCTCTTTTTGACACACCTCTGCCGCCAAGCGTGTGTCAAAAAGATTTGTAAGTGTAATGTGGTTGTTCCAGCAGTACACCAGCAGATGGTGCTGTTGTAGCTGGTTATTACCTACAGGCAAACAAACCAGCAGAGTTTGTGGCACTAAAGTGTAGATAGAGAAAACCGAAGGATTTAAGAAGAAGAAAAGTTCAGAATGACAAGGAACACTAAAATTCCCACAAAATACCGACCTTTATGAAAGCTGTAAGTTCTCTGTCAGCTGAGTTCTATGGGGAAAATTTCTTTGTAGCCAACGTGAATTTAGTCTGCAGTACGCGAGAATCCTTCAGCTCCAAGCTAGTAACACCTATCCAGTTATTATAATAGATCCATGTATCATACAGTGGTGTGAATGACAGGATTTTGAAAATAGGAAAAAAATATCATAAACAGCTGCGGTAGTGTGTCTTGTCAAGGCAGTAGGTTTTGGTTTGCTTGCGTGTAGGTAATAACCAGCTACAACAGCACCATCTGCTGGTGTACTGCTAGAACAACCACATTACACTTACAAATCTTTTTGACACACGCTTGGCGGCAGATGTGTGTCAAAAAGAGATTTGTGTGTAAAACAGAGCCTGTGCGTAGCACTTAGGCTTTTTCCCGGTCTTCTCTTTGTACAACGCGGTTATTTACACACAGATTGTTCTGTTACAGATACAAATGTCAAATTACACACACACAAATCTGTTTACGCACGCACACAGTCCAAGTTACACTTGCGAATCTGCGAAGGCAGGACTGCGTCAAAAGATTTGTGTGTAAAAAAAAAACTTGTGTGTAAAACGTACTTTTTTTTTTCTTTACACATACACAAATCTTTCTACGCACACACAAATCTTTTTACGCACACACAAATCTTGATACGTACATACAAATCTATTTACACACGCACAAATATTTCTTTTACACACACACAAATCTGGTTACGCACGCACAAATCTTTTTACGGACACACAAATCTGGTTACGCACACACAAATCTGGTTACGCACGCACAAATCTTTTTACGCACACACAAATCTGTTTACGCACACACAAATATTATTGAAACAATAATAGCTCCATAGAAAGGACCTTTAGACATTAGAATATATTTTAGTTTTTATTTGAAGGGACAATGTACAGAGACATTCAGCTCAAAGACAGATCTGTTCTGCAGCAGATTAAAGATAAACAGCTGTTTCCATCTGCAGTCCCTGTTACAGATACTATGTGTATCACAATACACACACACTCTGAGACACACACACACACACACTCTGAGACACACACACACACTCTGATACACACACTCTGATACACACACACACACACACACACTCTGAGACACACACACACACACTCTGATACACACACTCTGATACACACACACACACACACACACTCTGATACACACACACACACACACACACTCTGATACACACACACACACTCTGATACACACACACACACACACACACACTCTGATACACACACACACACACACACTCTGATACACACACACACTCTGATACACACACACACACTCTGATACACACACACACACACACACACACACTCTGATACACACACACACACACACACACACTCTGATACACACACACACACACACACACTCTGATACACACACACACACACACACTCTGATACACACACACACTCTGATACACACACACACACTCTGATACACACACACACACACACACACACTCTGATACACACACACAGACTCTGATACACACACACACACTCTGATACAGACACATACACACACACACACACACACTCTGATACAGACACACACACACACTCTCTGATACAGACACACACACACACACACACACACACACACACACACATTTCTCTGATACAGACACACACACACACACACACACATTTCTCTGATACAGACACATTTCTCTGACACACACACACACACATACACATTTCTCTGATACAGACACACACACACATACACATTTCTCTGATACAGACTCAAACACACACACACATTTCTCTGATACACACACATAGACATTTCTCTGATACAGACTCACACACACACACACATTTCTCTGATACAGACTCACACACACACACATTTCTCTGATACAGACACACACACACACACACACACTCTGATACAGACACACACACATTTAGCCTTGTACCTTGTTAAAACCACACCTCACTCACAGCATCACACATGCACAACACACAACACTCAGTCACATTAACACAACCACACATTCAGACGATATACTGTATTTCAACACATTCAGTACATCTAATCACTATCAAAGAAGGATCTAGGAAATCATTTGGACAATTCATTTTTCCACATTTCTTTCAAAAATGTCTTCTTTCCCTCAGTGTTGAGCCAATTTGTTCATTTTAGCTTTGTAGTAATATTCAGTGCCATTTAGGAACCACTGTTCTATACGGAACAATATATACTGTAGTCTTTATACGGGGCGGCACGGTGGCTGAGTGGATAGCACTCTCGCCTCTCAGCAAGAAGGTCCTGGGTTCAAATCCCGGTTGGACCAGGGCCTTTCTGAGTGGAGTTTGCATGTTCTCCCTGTGTCTGCGTAGGTTTCCTCCGGGTGCTCCGGTTTCCCCTACCACTAAAATATGTACAATAGGTCTGGCATGTGCCTCCTGTTCTGGCCCCACTCCCAAAAATAACAATTGTAAACCGCTTTGAGACTCCGATGTGCAGTGAAAAGGCGGTATATAAATAAAGATTACTTACTACTACTATACGGACGAGCACCAAGGCCCTATCTCTGTCCCCGTGGCCCAAAGCAAGCTAATTAAAACTAAGCTAATGGATCCATGCAGGTCTTCACACCAACATGCAGCTGCTGTGACCCCAGATTAGGACAATATTGACTGACGACGGCAGCGGTGGGTGTAATGGGGAAATGGAGCCAGATAAAACAGTCTCAGCAGAACAAGGAGAGATATGGTTTCATGCTCTGGCCTCGCTGGGACTGTGTGTTTCCCCTGATCAGAGAAATGAGAAAGAAAACATCAGCTCAATTTTCCAGCCAAGTGGGACGCAAACCATCAGAACCATTGGAGGTTTCATATCAAAATGAAAAGATAAAGTGTTACCGTTTGAGAAATGTTTGCTTTTGCTTAAGTCATGTAGCTTTGGTGAAATAAACTTGAGTCTCATCTAAAGTACGATGACCCCGTACAGGCCTCGCTGATCCGCTCTAAAACTACACATTTTTACAAATTCAAAACAATCTGCTTTAAAGCCCAGTTTTTACGGAGGCGCTGCGTAGACGACCAGGCTCCTGATGCAAATTTCACAGCGTTCATACGAGAATGAAAAACGATGTAGTTCTAGCGCCCGGACAGTAGGGGGCAGAGGAACTTTACAACACAAAACACGTGAGGCCCCCCCCCCCCCCCCCCCCCCCTCCAACATCATTCTGCATTTAACAGCAGCTGCAAAAATGGAAACTGAAACTAGAGCTTTGTGTCGTCTCGTTTGGACGAACGAAGGAGTAGAATTATCCTCTGTTAGCGCTCGAAGCACACGTAGCTAGTTAGTTCACCCACCGCCATTGTTGTTTATGTTTGTTCTACTGGGCATGTCCAAATGTACGTGTGGGAGCAGCACCTTTTCCTTCAGGCGGGTGTGAAAGAGCGCCCCCTGCTGAGCATCTGAGCTGTCCCACTCTGAGGCTGGATCTGAACTCTTACGTTTTCACCTGGAACAGTCTCCGTATGAGCGGAGGTAGCAAACGACACCAACTATAGAGTTTTACTGCTGCAGCGTCTTCGTATAAACTGGGCCTAAAACTCTTGGACAGGTTCATGGTTGGACTGTGTGAAGCTGAGGTCTGTAGTTTTGGTCTCTGATGACTAATTTATTCTATTTGTTACGACCAAAGCAAAAGAAAAAGTGTGTTCAATGGTAAACGCAAAGGTGCTCTATCCAAATATTAACCAACGCCTAGAAACACATGTAATAATCTCAAACAACTTGGTTCGCTATTGTTTTGTTCTGAAGAGGAGAAAGTAGCAGCGTCAATGGGACCGCTTTGGTTTCCCAGGCAACCCCAGTGAGATCGCCATCATGTGGTTGGGTGTGGGATTACAACATTCTCTTCAAAACTATGCAGGGGGTACGCCCGAGTGTACCAGCAACTGTGGCTGCGTAGGTCCAACTGTGGCTGTGTAGGTCCAACTGTGGCTGCATAGGTCCAACTGTGGCTGCATAGGTCCGACTGTGGCTGCGTAGGTCCGACTGTGGCTGCGTAGGTCCGACTGTGGCTGCATAGGTCCAACTGTGGCTGCGTAGGTCCAACTGTGGCTGCGTAGGTCCAACTGTGGCTGCATAGGTCCAACTGTGGCTGCGTAGGTCCAACTGTGGCTGTGTAGGTCCGTCTGTGGCTGCGTAGGTCCCACTGTGGCTGTGTAGGTCCGTCTGTGGCTGCGTAGGTCCCACTGTGGCTGCGTAGGTCCGTCTGTGGCTGCATAGGTCCGTCTGTGGCTGCGTAGGTCCGTCTGTGGCTGCGTAGGTCCGTCTGTGGCTGCGTAGGTCCGATTGTGGCTACGTAGGTCCGACTGTGGCTGCGTAGGTCCGACTGTGGCTGTGTAGGTCCGTCTGTGGCTGCGTAGGTCCCACTGTGGCTGCGTAGGTCCGTCTGTGGCTGCATAGGTCCGTCTGTGGCTGCGTAGGTCCGTCTGTGGCTGCGTAGGTCCGTCTGTGGCTGCGTAGGTCCAACTGTGGCTACGTAGGTCCGACTGTGGCTGCGTAGGTCCGACTGTGGCTGTGTAGGTCCGTCTGTGGCTGCGTAGGTCCCACTGTGGCTGCGTAGGTCCGTCTGTGGCTGCATAGGTCCGTCTGTGGCTGCGTAGGTCCGTCTGTGGCTGCGTAGGTCCGTCTGTGGCTGCGTAGGTCCGTCTGTGGCTACGTAGGTCCGTCTGTGGCTGCGTAGGTCCGACTGTGGCTGCGTAGGTCCAACTGTGGCTGCGTAGGTCCGTCTGTGGCTGCGTAGGTCCGATTGTGGCTACGTAGGTCCGACTGTGGCTGCGTAGGTCCGACTGTGGCTGCGTAGGTCCGTCTGTGGCTGCGTAGGTCCAACTGTGGCTGCGTAGGTCCGTCTGTGGCTGCGTAGGTCCAACTGTGGCTGCGTAGGTCCGTCTGTGGCTGCGTAGGTCCCACTGTGGCTGCGTAGGTCCGACTGTGGCTGCGTAGGTCCGACTGTGGCTGCGTAGGTCCAGCACAACCGCAACTTTAACCAGTGCCGCATGAGTACACACAGGCCTTGAGAGAGCGGTTCCTGTCACAGTATGATGTCATTGTACCACTATGACATCACAATGACATCACACTCACTGGTTTTCGGCCTTTTATAACAGATATTTTCAGCAAATCTGTCAATTATTTACATTCACATGGCCGTGTTTGCAGACGGTTATTTTCAAATCAGGGAAACACAACTAAAACAATGTATCCCGTTCCTCTGGTGGTAGCAGAGGGAGTTACAGTCACAATGGAAAACATGAAATGACAAATGAAATCAAAATGAATGACAAAAACATGCTTAGTATTTGTTCTTTGATATAAATCTTGTGCGCGGTCACCATCAGACACTGAGCCATCTCTGCACCGCCGTTACACGTCTCCACGCCATTATCCCAGTGCGTCCCGCTGGCTCTCCATTTGGTCCAGGAGTTGGATCACCATGTGGGGACCGTGGACAGCTGTGGACGTCTGCAGCCTCTCTCAGACGCAGCATTAGGACTTAAATTGCTCTTCTTTAGGGAGTCATTACTGCACTGTAGGAACATTACCACAGCTTTTCTACGGCTTCTGCAACGTTTTAATCTAATCTGTTCAAGGAGTCTTTGAAAAACTTTCAAACAGGACTTTTCTTGTGACATTGTGGCACTTTAGCTTATTATTATTCATTTATTTATTAGATATGGACACAACAGTGACATTGGACGAACCGTGCAACTTTTTAAAGAACATAAATGCACACATTTAAAATCTACAAATATAAAATTCATTAAATGTACAATTCATGAAACATTATCTGACTGTTCACAAAGATCTATCAGCTGTTTGTAGAAATCCACCAATATGGGTTTTCTGACTGGGCACTTTTTGTTTATGCTGCAGCTAAAGATGGGGTAGAGCCTAATCCTAATACGCTTGTTTCAAGGTTCTCTCGGGGTCTCTCTCTGGTCTCTCTCTGGTCTCTCTCTGGTCTCTCTCTGGTCTCTCTCTGGTCTCTCTTTGGTTTCTCTCTGGTTTCTCTCTGGTCTCTCTCTGTCCTCTCTCTGGTCTCTCTCTGGTCTCTCTCTGGTCTCTCTCTGGTCTCTCTCTGGTCTCTCTGGTCTCTCTCTGGTCTCTCTGGTCTCTATCTGCTCTCTCTGGTCTCCCTTTGGTTTCACTCAGGTCTCTCTGGTCTCTATCTGGTCTCTCTGGTCTCTCTCTGGTCTCCCTTTGGTTTCACTCAGGTCTCTCTGGTCTCTCTCTGGTCTCTCTGGTCTCTCTGGTCTCTATCTGGTCTCTCCTGTCTCTCTCTGGTCTCCCTTTGGTTTCTCTCAGGTCTCTCTGGTCTCTCTCAGGTCTCTCTGGTCTCTATCTGGTCTCTCTGGTCTCTCTCTGGTCTCCCTTTGGTTTCACTCAGGTCTCTCTGGTCTCTCTCTGGTCTCTCTGGTCTCTCTGGTCTCTATCTGGTCTCTCCTGTCTCTCTCTGGTCTCTATCTGGTCTCTCTGGTCTCTCTCTGGTCTCCCTTTGGTTTCACTCAGGTCTCTCTGGTCTCTCTCTGGTCTCTCTCTGGTCTCTCTGGTCTCTCCTGTCTCTCTCTGGTCTCTCTCAGGTTTCTCTGGTTTCTCTCAGGTCTCTCTGGTCTCTCTGGTCTCTCTGGTCTCTCTCAGGTCTCTCTGGTTTCTCTCAGGTCTCTCTGGTCTCTCTCTGGTCTCTCTCTGGTTTCTCTCTGGTCTCTCTCTCTCTCTCTAGTCTCAGTTCTCTCTCAGAGCAGAGCCTCTTGTTTAGATCTCTTCTTTCTTAGTGATGTTGCTGAACCACGGTCACAAAACCAACAAACAAACTTTTCAACATTTGAAAACAACAGTAAACATTTCCATCAAGACTCCGGGAAACGACCTCCACCGTCGCAGCTCAGCCTTTTGTGCTCACTGCTCACATTAGATAAATATTACTTACTCAGTTGCTTACTCAGTTGCTTACTTAGTGACTTACTCAGTGACTTACTTAGTGACTTACTTAGTGACTTACTTAGTGACTTACTTAGTGACTTACTTAGTGACTTACTTAGTGACTTACTTAGTGACTTACTTAGTGACTTACTGACTTACTTAGTGACTTACTTAGTGACTTACTTAGTGACTTACTGTCCCCTAAACCAAGACCTGTGTTTTCTGTGTTGTTGCAGGTGGGTAACCTGGGCCTGCTCTTCATGCTACTGTTTTTCATCTACGCCGCCTTAGGAGTGGAGCTATTTGGAGAACTTGGTGAGAATGACACACGCATGGCACTCAACAATGGTCTCGCGGGCCGGATTTGGTCCACGGGCCTGAGTTTGACCTGCTGTTTTACATCAACACTTGTCAGAACGAGGGCCTAGTTCTGATGTAGTTCTGTAGAACCTATTGATAAATGATTTCTGAGGGAGTTCCAGCAGCTTGTTGTTTCTGCGAGTGACATTTCTCCCTCTCGTCTGGTCGAGCCTTTCTCGCACGTTCAGTAGCGACAAAACGTAAATCAATCGTTTGCAAACTCTGCACAAGTCCAAAAATATCCTTCTGAAGAATGAGAGACACCTTTTTGTTGTTGTTGTTGTTTTGGCAGAGGAAGGATTAGCGACTAAACCAAGTGTGCGGCGGCGGTTGAGGCCATTTCAAAGATGATGGAGAGATAGAGCGGAGACGGGGAAGTGGGGAAGATGCAGAGAGAGAGATAGAAGTGTGTCTGTAATGAGAGCGTTTGGTCGTGCGCTTGCTTCTGGTCGGACACAGACGGTTCTGGAGCAGAGCGGACACAGTCTGTTCACACCGATGCAGCGTTCACACGTCCAGTTTAAAGCTGCAGTAACTGACTTTATTTTTGTATTAATTACTAAAATGCTATCCATGTCCATGCAGGGCATTGGGATATACATCATTTTGAAGAAAAAGTAGCGCAGATTTGTGCTGGCGTGACATTATATTTTAGATTGAGTTTTGATGAAACAAGGAAGAGAATGTGTTTCGGGTCGCAGATTGTGACCAATCGCAGCGGACCACTAGCCCCCACTTTCGTGAGAAATCTACAGGTCCGTTAGCATAGACGGCTGAGTTAGCACAACAAGCCGAGGAGCTAACCTGAAGCTACCTCGTCTTCGTCACCGGTTACTGCTTACACAGCGAGACAGCCATCCAAAAGAAAGCCCCGTTCCTCCGCGCTTCCCGGTTCTATCGTTCTGTGGTCACGCCATCCACGTGCAAATCCATATCCATGTATTATCCATATTGGGAGACGCTAGCTTCGTCCCAACAGTGGGTGTGTGTGGGGGGCGATAGCTTCGTGGGTGCGGGGAGGGGAGCAGAAAGAGAGAGGCCAGAGAGTCCACGGCTTCAAAATCCCAAAGTCAGTTAGTGCAGCTTTAAAGCAGCAGCAGCGGATGATTCATTTACATGTATCTGTGTGAGGTAGTTTTCTCTGAGGACTTTACAAAACTGTGGATTCACCAAAACAGATCAAAGATTAGCAGTATTCGAATGTATTGACTCCAGACCGACTTTATGATACCTGTAGATAATTATGTATTTGCTACGTCCCAATGTTGATCTGAAATGAGATTTAAAACTTGTGTGAAATTCTACTTTATAAAATTCCTCATTATCTGGAGTTTAGTGTATGGCAATTTTATGTATTTTAATATTATGTACATATTTTCAATTTGTATTATTTGATATTATTTCCTCTGTTTACTGTGAATTATTTTGTTTGTTATTTTCTATCCCACATTGTTACTCATGTGTTCTGTTGTGTATTTATGTTATATCATATTTATACATTTTAAAACCCAAGACAGAGGGTAGACGACGTTAAGAATCTCGGCCAAAGCTGAAGCCTGCAGGTCTGACAGACACACAGACAGATACAGACAGACAGATACAGACAGACAGATACAGACAGACAGACAGATACAGACAGACAGATACAGACAGACAGACAGATACAGACAGACAGAGACAGACAGATACAGACAGATACAGACAGACAGACAGACAGACAGACAGATACAGACAGACAGACAGACAGATACAGACAGACAGACACAGACAGACAGACAGACAGACAGACAGACAGACAGACAGACAGACAGATACAGACAGACAGACAGATACAGACACACAGACAGACAGATACAGACAGAGAGACAGACAGACAGACACACAGACAGACAGACAGATACAGACAGACAGACAGACAGATACAGACAGACACACAGACACACAGACAGACAGACAGACAGATACAGACAGACAGACAGACAAACACAGACACACAGACAGATACAGACAGACACACAGACAGATACAGACAGACAGAAAGACAGATACAGAAAGACACACAGACAGACACACAGACAGACACAGACAGACAGACAGACAAACACAGACACACAGACAGACACACTGACACAGACAGACAGACACAGACACACAGACAGACAGACAGACAGACAGACACACAGACAGACACACAGACACAGACAGACAGACAGACACACACAGACACAGACACACAGACAGACAGACAGACAGACACACAGACAGAGACACACAGAATGACAGACAGACAGACAGACAGACAGACACACAGACAGACAGACACACAGACACAGACACACAGAATGACAGACAGACAGACAGACACACAGACACACAGACACACAGACAGACAGACACAGACAGACACTTGGTTGATCCCCCGGTGTCCAGTGGTAGAAACACATCCATCCACACAAACTAATAAGTACATCATTCTCAAAGTGACTCAGAAAAGTAGTAAAGTGTGTGTGAGTGTGTAGCCCTGTGGTGTTGTGTGTTCTCTGTGTGTAAGTGTGTAACCCTGTGGTGTTGTGTGTTCTCTGTGTGTGAGTGTGTAACCCTGTGGTGTTGTGTGTTCTTGTGTGTTGCAGTCTGTAATGAAGACTACCCGTGTGAGGGCATGAGTCGTCACGCTACCTTTGAGAACTTTGGCATGGCCTTCCTGACCCTGTTCCAAGTGTCGACGGGCGATAACTGGAACGGCATAATGAAGGTAAGTCTACTCAGGGCCAGGTTATTTGTATAGCACAGACTCAATCACACAAGGCATCCATCCATCCATCCATTTTCTTCCGCTTCATCCGTTGCCGGGTCGCGGGGGCAGCAGTCTAAGCAGAGACGCCCAGACTTCCCTATCCACACACACTTCCTCCAGCTCGTCCGGGGGGACTCCAAGGCGTTCCCAGGCCAGCTGAGAGACATAGTCCCTCCAGCGTGTCCTGGGTCTTCCCCGGGGCCTCCTCCCGGTGGGACGTGCCCGGAACACCTCCCCAGGGAGGCGTCCAGGAGGCATCCTGAACAGATGCCCGAGCCACCTCAACTGGTTCCTCTCGACGTGGAGTAGCAGCGGTTCTACTCCGAGCTCTTCCCGTGTGACTGAGCTCCTCACCCTATCTCTAAGGGAGCAGCGCTCTACTCCGAGCTCCTCCCGTGTGACTGAGCTCCTCACCCTATCTCTAAGGGAGCGCCCAGCCACTCTGCGGAGGAAGCTCATTTCGACCGCTTGTATCCGCGATCTTGTTCTTTCGGTCATTACCCAAAGCTCATGACCATAGGTGAGGGAGGGAACGAAGATTGACCGGTAAATCGAGAGCTTTGCCTTTCGGCTCAGCTCCCTCTTCACCACAACGGTCCGATACAGCGACCGCATCACTGCGCACGCTGCACCGATCCGCCTGTCAATCTCACGCTCCATCCTTCCCTCACTCGTGAACAAGACCCGGAGATACTTGAACTCCTCCACTTGAGGAAGGACCTCTACACCCACCCGGAGAGGGCAAGGCACCTTTTTCCGGTCGAGCACCATGGCCTCAGATTTGGAGGTGCTGATTCTCATCCCAGCCGCTTCATACTCGGCTGCAAACCGTCCCAGTGCATTCTGCAGGTCCTGGTTCGTTGGAGCCAACAGATCAAACATCGTCTGCAAACAGCAGAGATGAAATCCTGTGGTCCCCGAACCGGACCCCCTCCAACCCTTGGCTGCGCCTAGATATTCTGTCCATAAATACAGTGAACAGAACCGGTGACAAAGGGCAGCCTTGGCGGAGGCCAACATGCACCGGGAACAGGTCTGACTTACTGCCGGCAATGCGCACGCAGCTCTGGCTCCGGTCATACAGGGACCGGACGGCCCTCAGCAGAGGACCCCGGACCCCGTACTCCCGGAGGACCCCCCAAAGGACACCCCGGGGAACACGGTCGAACGCCTTCTCCAAATCCACAAAGCACATGTGGACAGGTTGGGCGAACTCCCATGAACCCTCGAGTATCCGATGGAGAGTATAGAGCTGGTCCAGTGTTCCGCGACCGGGACAAAAACCACACTGCTCCTCCTGAATCCGAGATTCGACCATCGGCCGTAACCTCCTCTCCAGTACCTTGGAGTAAACCTTGCCAGGGAGGCTGAGGAGTGTGATCCCACGATAATTGGAACACACCCTCCGGTCCCCCCTTCTTGTAGAGAGGGACCACCACCCCGGTCTGCCACTCCATTGGCAAACCGCCCCCGATCGCCACGCGATGTTGCAGAGACGTGTCAGCCAAGACAGTCCTACAACATCCAGAGACTTTAGATAGTCAGGACGGATCTCATCCACTCCCGGCGCCTTGCCACCAAGGAGGCTGCCAACCACCTTGGTGACCTCTGCCAGGGAGATGGATGTATCCGCCCCAACATCCTCAGCCTCTGCCTCCGGAGCGGAGGACGTGACGGGGGGATTGAGGAGAACCTCAAAGTATTCCTTCCACCGTCCGACAATATCCCCGGTCGAGGTCAGCAGCTCACCCCCCGCACCGTACACGGTGTTGGCAAAGAACTGCTTCCCCCTCCTGAGGCGCCGGACAGTTTGCCAGAATCTCTTCGAGGCCGACCGATAGTCATGCTCCATGGACTCTCCGAATTCCTCCCAGTCCCGGGTTTTTGCCTCTGCAACAGCCCGGGCCGCGGCACGCTTGGCCTGCCGGGTACTGGACAGCTGCCTCAGGAGTCCCCCGAACCATCATGGCTCGATAGGACTCCTTCTTCAGCCTGACGGCATCCCTTACTGCCGGTGTCCACCACCGGGTTCGGGGGTTGCCGCCGGGACCAGCACCAGAGACCTTGCAACCACAGCTACGAGCCGCCGCATCGGCGATAGAGGAAGAGAACATGGTCCACTCGGACTCAATAATCCCCCTCCTCCGCCGGGACCTGGGAGAAACTCTCCCGGAGGTGTGAGTTGAAAGTCCGTCTGACAGGGGTCTCAGCGAGACGTTCCCAGCAGACCCTCACTACACGCTTGGGTCTGCCAGGTCTGACCGGCTTCTTCCCCTGCCAGCGGATCCAACTCACGACCAGGTGGTGATCGGTTGACAGCTCCGCCTCTCTCTTTACCCGAGTGTCCAAAACACGCGGCCGAAGGTCAGATGATACGACAACAAAGTCGATCATCGACCTCCGGCCTAGGGTGTCCTGGTGCCACGTGCACTGGTGGACACCCTTGTGCTCAAACATGGTGTTCGTGATGGACAAACCGTGACTAGCACAGAAGTCCAACAACTGAACACCACTCGGGTTCAGATCAGGGGGGCCATTCTTCCAGATCACCCCTCTCCAAGTGTCACTGGCGCTTCCCACATGGGCATTAAAGTCCCCCAGGAGAATGATGGAGTCCCCGGGCGGTGCACCGTCCAGTACCCCCTCCCAAGGACTCCAAGAAGGCCGAGTACTCTGCACTGCTGTTAGGCCCGTAGGCCGTCACAACAGTGAGAGACTTGTCCCCCACCCGAAGGCGGAGGAACGCGACCCTCTCATTCACCGGGGAGAACTCCAACACGTGGCGGCTGAGATGGGGGGCAATGAGTATAGCCACCCCAGCTCGCCGCCTCTCCCCGCGAGAAACACCAGAAAAGTGGAGCGTCCAACCCCTCTCAAGGAGTTGGGTTCCAGAGCCCAAGCTGTGTGTGGAGGTGAGGCCGACTATCTCTAGTCGGTATCGCTCAACCTCCCCCCCGGAGCTCGGGCTCCTTCCCCCCCAGTGAGGTGACGTTCCACGTCCCAAGAGCCAGATGTTGGTGTGTGCGGACTGGGTCGCCGAGGTCTCCGCCTTCGACTGCTGCCCAGTCCTCTCTGCACCGAGCCGCCACGGACCCCTCTGCGGGTGGTGGGCCCACAGGAGGGACTGCCCACGTCGTCCCTTCGGGCTGAGCCCGGCCGGGCCCCGTGGGCTTAGGCCCGGCCACCAGGCGCTCGCATTCGAGCCCCGACCCCAGGCCTGGCTCCAGGGTGGGGCCCCGGCTGCGCCATGCCGGGCGACGTCACGGTTCTTCTTTTCGTGCTGTCCATGTTTGGCTTCTGACTGCTCTTTGTCTGACTCGTCACCTGAGACCTGTCTGCCATGGGAGGCCCTACCAGGGGCATGAAGCCCCAGACAGCATAGCTCCCAGGATCATCCGAGTGCTCAAACTCCCCCCACCACGTTAAGGTGGCAGTCCAGGGGGGAGTGGCAGTCCAGGGGGGAGGCGGGGGGGACACAAGGCATTCAAATCATAAATAATCACAGTTGTCAGAGAAGCAGCAAAAATTAGATCAAATATAGTTTTTAGTAGCCTGGTCGTACCACACCATAGTACAAATGTCATGTCGTACTAAGGTCTGGATTGTCTCCATTGGCTCCGTGAACAGGTGGGAGGGGCTAACTCCTTTTGCAGATTGAAACCATTGGATCTGAGTTTACTGTGACGCATGAAATGAGCCAGAGTGTGTTGTTAGCATTTAGCATTTAGCCTAGCATCTCCTTTGCCGCTAACGGAGCCCGTGGGGTGCAGAGCCACAATCTTTGACAGCTCCGGCTTCAGTTTCTTGATAGAACCAGACCAGAATACTTTACTATCACATTCTTTACCAAACTACAACCTGCTCGATCGACGCAAACTCTGATGTCACCCACATCTAACCACAACACCCGCCTCCCGCGCTCTCTGATTGGTCGGATGGAATTCAACTGATTGTATTTGCTAACACGGATCTACTACGCTCGGACTATCTACGCTCGGACTATCTACGCTCGGACTATCTACGCTCGGACTATCTACGCTCTATCTATCGCTCGGACTATCTGTGCTTGGACTATCTACGCTCGGACTATCTACGGACTATCTACGCTCGGACTATCTACGCTCGGACTATCTACGCTCGGACTATCTGCGCTCGGACTATCGTGCGCTCGGACTATCTACGCTCGGACTATCTACGCTCGGACTATCTACGCTCGGACTATCTGCGCTCGGACTATCTACGCTCGGACTATCTACGCTCGGACCATCTACGCTCGGACCATCTACGCTCGGACCATCTACGCTCGGACCATCTACGCTCGGACCATCTACATCTACGCTCGGACTATCTACGCTCGGACTATCTACGCTCGGACTATCTACGCTCAGACTATCTACGCTCGGACTATCTACGCTCTGACCACATTTGGACGTGAAACTAGCGGTAATATTTCAGTTATATATTGTGTTAGCAGTGCGTTGCTTTTGTACCGTTTCATCAGTGATTTTTGTACAGCTCAAGTTGTGCTAATGCTAACGTTAGCATACGTATCAGATCGCAAATGAAACTAGATGCTCCGTGGGAAGAGAGAGTAGGGGAAATGAGAAGCCTGTGAGCGAGTTGGGGGCGGGGCTAAACATTCAAACCTGCAGAAACGGGTATAGCTCCTTTGAATATATTTTATCGGGCACCGCAGCTTTAAGCCGTTTGTTTTCATGCTTCACAACAAATCAACCCAGTAGAATTTTTTTAGCAAATACAAAACTAAATGTACTAAAACCATCTGCAAACTTGCACTTTTTCCTCTAAACTGCTATATTCATCTGCTAACATGGCCACACAGGCTCATTAGTATCGCTCAATGTTTTGGCCCAATTCATTTATTATTTATTACAATTTGTGATTTATTTTTGTATTTATTTGAGGCTGTGTGTGCTCTCCAAACTACAGACTGGTTATTAGTGCGGTGAAAAGCCAGTCAGATACTACTTAAATGCAAACCAGGACCAAATGTGGAAAAAAGTGAAATCTCTGGAGGAAAGTGGAGAACATAATTGAACATCAGGGTAAAATTTAGCAAAGCAGAAAATCAGAAAGTGGTCCTGTAGCTGCGAACGGCACATGTGTGAGCGGCGTGCCAGATTAAGCAGCGCACAACACAACGAGCCCCGACTGGGAACACATTATGCACAACAATCTTTTCATTTGCACATGTTTATAATCTTCCTCTTTGTCCAAGTCTCCTCCAGTTGATTGCAAAAGACGCCATGTTACATTCTCCGGCTTGGAATGATTTCACATTTGAATGAAGCAGAGTGGATTTGAACATTAAGAAAAGGTTTAACTTTAAGTAGCAATATGTAAGAATTTCATGTCAAGTCCTCATTAAAGGGCCATAATCTGTCACCGTTAAAGGGCCCTAATCTGTCATCATTAAAGGGCCTTATCTGTCACCGTTAAAGGGCCCTAATCTGTAGTCATTAAAGGGCCCTAATCTGTCATCATTAAAGGGCCATAATCTGTCATCATTAAAGGGCCCTAAACTGTCAGCATTAAAGGGCTCTAATCTGTCATCATTAACTCATTGACTGCCAGCCCATTTCAAAACAGGTACTCCCATATTGCCAGCCGTTTCTGGTGGTTTTTACTGATTTTTCAAGACCCACAGAATATTGTGTACTTTGACTATCTGAAATCTAAAACTAGATTCTGAAAGAATGGGCTGTCTACTCTCACCAGCAAAAAGAATTTTGTTTCTATCTTGTTTAGTTCTTCTGTAATCCCCAGTTGAGTAGAGGGAAGTTTTATTGAAATCACCAGAAAGCTGAGAAAAAAGGGCCACAAACAGTGCATCTAGCTGTGTTCAAACCATTCATAGCGCAATGCTGCCATCTGCTGGCTCCATAAAGTATTGCCTCAAGCCAATCTCCACATATTAGATTCAATGGACAGCTGGGAACGTAAAAATAGCGGGAAACGCAATTGACGTGTTAACACGTCATTGGCAGACAACGTTACTATTTAGTTTGACGTGTTAACACGTCAATGGCAGTCAATGAGTTAAAGGGCCCTAACCTGTCATCATTAAAGGGCCCTAATCTGTTATCATTAAAGGGCCCTAATCTGTCATCATTAAAGGGCTCTAATCTGTCATAATTAAAGGGCCCTAACCTGTCATTAAAGGGGCCTAATCTGTCATAATTAAAGGGCGCCAGAACTCACCGCGTGGAGCTAATCTCACTGGTAAAGTACCATGTGGCGCAGAACTAAAAAAGGTCTTGTTATGATTCTCAAATCATTAACGACAAAACAAGGAATAAAACCAGGATTTCTATCTTTGTGAAAAAGGTGTTGGTTATAGATTTGTTGTTGACAAAACTCTTGTCTATTGAGCTGTTATGGTCCCAGCTGGATTCGTCTGCATATCTGGCAACCTGAGTCAGGGAGAGTGGGAGAGGCTGCAGTACCACTTTTGGCCACATGTTTACACACTGCTCCTTTAAAAGTCAAAATGAACCGTGTTTTTAGACTGAAGGTTGTATTTCTAAGTCTAACCTGAGTCTAACCTTTTCCCATGTGCTTGATTAAAGAGGACAGTTTTAACCCCGCCCCCCCCTCCTCCTCTGGCCCCTGCAGGACACGTTGCGCGAGTGCCCTCCCGACCACGGCACAGAGCTGGAGTACGCGTGCAACCCCAGCCTGCAGTTCATTTCGCCCATGTACTTTGTCTCCTTCGTGCTCACCGCCCAGTTCGTGCTCATCAACGTGGTGGTGGCCGTGCTGATGAAGCACCTGGACGACTCCAACAAGGAGGCCCAGGAGGAGGCGGAGATGGATGCAGAGATTGAGCTGGAGCTGGCCCAGGGCACCCTCTGTTGCATGGGCGCACCGGGGTGTGGCGGCGGCGGCGGAGGAGGAGGAGGTGGAGGAGGAGGTGGAGGAGGAGGTGGGACGGTCGAGAAGGAGAGAGGAAGAGCGCAGAGACCGGGCGCCAGAGAAGACCGTGGGTCTAAGAGGCTGAGGCGCAGCACCCGCAGCTCCAGCCAGGGCTTGTACTCCCCGTCGCAGGTGAGAGGGCGAGGGGCATGGGCACAGCACCACCTACAGGCCACACGCAGAACACACTGAGAGGCCACTGTGCACATGCTGCATCCTTTAACACTCCACTCACAGAATCCTGAAACTACTGAAACTCTCCTCTTCAAATGCATGGAATTCTGGGAAAATCCTCAAAAATAGTTTTAGGTTTTCACTGCTTTGAAAAATCATAATCTTCTTGAATCAATAAATAACGTTTTATGGTTTTTTTGCTCTGTCGAAACTTGACGTTTTTATGTTTATTCTTTGACCAATGACTTTTTATGTTTCACACCTGAAGAAAGTCAAGTCCAGTGTGTTTATGGTATAGACCTGTCTCTGGTGCTTCAGCTGGTATAGACCTGTCTCTGGTGTGTTCATGGTATAGACCTGTCTCTGGTGCTTCAGCTGGTATAGACCTGTCTCTGGTGCTTCAACTGGTATAGACCTGTCTCTGGTGCTTCAGCTGGTATAGACCTGTCTCTGGTGTGTTCATGGTATAGACCTGTCTCTGGTGTGTTCATGGTATAGACCTGTCTCTGGTGCTTCAGCTGGTATATACCTGTCTCTGGTGCTTCAACTGGTATAGACCTGTCTCTGGTGTGTTTATGGTATAGACCTGTCTCTGGTGCTTCAACTGGTATAGACCTGTCTCTGGTGTGTTCATGGTATAGACCTGTCTCTGGTGCTTCAGCTGGTATAGACCTGTCTCTGGTGTGTTCATGGTATAGACTTGTCTCTGGTGTGTTCATTATATAGACCTGTCTCTGGTGCTTCAACTGGTATAGACCTGTCTCTGGTGTCTCAGCTGGTATAGACCTGTCTCTGGTGTTTCAGCTGGTATAGACCTGTCTCTGGTGTGTTCATGGTATAGACCTGTCTCTGGTATTTCAGCTGGTATGGACCTGTCTCTGGTGTTTCAGCTGGTATAGACCTGTTTCTGGTGCTTCAGCTGGTATAGACCTGTCTCTGGTGCTTCAGCTGGTATAGACCTGTCTCTGGTGCTTCAGCTGGTATAGACCTGTCTCTGGTGCCTCAGCTGGTATAGACCTGTCTCTGGTGTGTTTATGGTATAGACCTGTCTCTGGTGTTTCAGCTGGTATAGACCTGTCTCTGGTGCTTCAACTGGTATAGACCTGTCTCTGGTGCTTCAGCTGGTATGGACCTGTCTCTGGTGTTTCAGCTGGTATAGACCTGTCTCTGGTGCCTCAGCTGGTATAGACCTGTCTCTGGTGTGTTCATGGTATAGACCTGTCTCTGGTGCTTCAGCTGGTATAGACCTGTCTCTGGTGCTTCAGCTGGTATAGACCTGTCTCTGGTGCCTCAGCTGGTATAGACCTGTCTCTGGTGTGTTCATGGTATAGACCTGTCTCTGGTGCTTCAGCTGGTATGGACCTGTCTCTGGTGTGTTCATGGTATAGACCTGTCTCTGGTGCTTCAGCTGGTATAGACCTGTTTCTAAATGGTTGCGATACAGTTGATGGTAAAAGTGCCTAAAACCAAGTAGGCTGCTCCAAAAAGGTAGATTTCAGTTCCAGTTTTAAGTACCTATGGTTTTCACCAAATAATTGAGGAACCATTAAAGAGTCAAACAAGAAATAATACTCACACAAAGGATGAGAACTTTTAGGATACATGGTTCTAAAAATCAACATCTTGAATACCATGAGGGTGGGTGGTACGTGCTGCAATACCACCCCGGGCCTGTGGGGGTGGACCCGGAATAAGATTTAGCCAATGCTAACATATAGCATTAGCAGACCTCTCTAAAACGTCTTTACAGGATGGACCAAAGTTGTCTCTTGCCCAAAGCTCCGTTCCACATGTGTGTCAATGCTGAGTGTTCTGGACCAGTCTAGTTTAGTTGCTGTGGACTTTAGAAGTCTCTCGTTTAAATGAATGGGTGAAGAAGATGACATAGTCTGGGATCGCGTCTTACATTCAGACAGAAGACATGTTTTATTGTCGATGGTAGAGACAGCACAAACAAAGCACACGATCACAGATACAATAGAATGCAAGTGTATTATACAGAGCGGAGGCATGGAGACCTCCAATCAGCAGCTGCCACAGTGCCATGTAGCTTGGCCTTCAGATAGACACAACAAGGGAAAAGTACTGGCTTCTGCTCATTGATAGAATGATGAGTTTAACTTTAACAAAAGTTGCTTCAAAGTGTTATGAAATCTCACATGGGGCTCGTGCAGCTGACGCATGCACAGATGTGTTTTTCACATTTTCCAGCCCCCGCGGCCATTGTGGTATTAGTTTTAAAGTTACTCTGTGTAATTTTTACAGTTGCTCCAAATGAAAAAACATGTTTACCATTAATGAATGTGACCTTTTTAACAATATTTACCTGCTCCATGTTTTTGAATTGTTGTCATAGACTTAGAATTTGACTTATAAATGTCCATGAGACTGGAGGACTCTCTGTGTCAATGCTCCATCTTGAACTACAGAGGCTGATAAGGGACAAAAAGGAGTTTGAGCGGCAGTTAGGGACCACTGTCAAAGACCACATATTGTCCTGTGGCAGCTTCCGTAGTACCGGAAATTACAATATATGATCTCAACGCTAGATGGGAGTGAAAACTACACAGTGAACCTTTGACGGCGGAGATCGGCAGAGTGACTACGTTTTGGAAAATCCACGGCAACAGGAAAGTAGAGAAGAAAGATCCAGAATGAAACAGTCCAACGTAAATGTTGTATTTGTTTCTAGTTTAAATCTATTTGGATCATCTACTTTTCTCTTCTCTTGTTTTTCTGAAAAGTCTTTGATAAAAACACCTTCTGAGTGTAATCAAATCTCACTCAAATCTCAAGTGTTACTTTTACAAAACTGGGAACTCGATTAAAAATACTTTTCAGCTCAAGTTAATCAGACAGACGGCTGCAGCGGGAAGAACAACAGAACCACAGAATGTACCGGTGAAACACAGAAAATTAGAATATCAGTCTGAAGTTAATTTATTCTGTGATTTCTGTGAACATATCAAAGGGAAAACAATGATCCAGACTCGTCACTGGCAAAGCGACAAAAGCTGATTCTTTGTGTGTCATTTTTGTGATGTCTCTGGTCTGGATTGTCGCAATCAAGAAACGGCCCCAAAAGTCACACTTCCCACACTTTTCTTTTCAAACCTCTGTCCGGGGTCTCAGCCTTTTCCCCGGGAGAGTCACTTATTTGTCACTAATCGGGACAAAAGTGGCAGAAAGCTGCTGATTTTACACAGATACAAAGGATTAAGTAGATTTTATCTCAATACAATTCCTAAAACAATGGAACCAGCTTTAGTCCTATCTCAAGCTCAGATGAAGCAAATGTTTTCCTTTTTCCTTTGCCTGATCCAGTTTCAACATCATCAAAATGTGTTCCAATCATTTGGTAGATCACCTTTTGAGTCAATATATCGACCTTTATCAACTGAGGTATACTCTTTTGGGCATCTCTTGGTTTTGGGCACTTTTACCATCAAACGCAATCAGGTAAGAGATCCAATAAAGAAGAAAAGACATTGCTTTAGGGTTAATGTTGGCCATTTCTATCTTTTGCGGGATTTGTTATTGTTGTGTAGTGTTATGCCCATAAAACAATCCATCATACTGTATTAGTACTTTTTATATTTACCCACAAAGTTAACCTTTGGGGATCTCTTGGAGGAGATTAGAGTTGATTCCATCTTTAACAACTGGATTTATAACTACCTCACTGTGCGTCACAGTCAGGTTAGGGAAGAGCGTGTCTGGGACTGTTGTGAGCACTACGGGAGCACCACAGGGCACCGTTCTGGGTCCCTTCCTCTTCACTGTTTACACTGCAGACTTTGCACATAACTCTGCTGCATGCCATGTAAACAAATACTCGCTGTTGTGGCATGAGTGAAGGGGGGTGTGGCATGAGTGAAGGGGGGTGTGGCATGAGTGAAGGGGGGTGTGGCATGAGTGAAGGGGGGTGTGGCATGTGTGAAGGGGGGTGTGGCATGTGTGAAGGGGGGGGGATCCTCAAAGGAAGTGATAATCAACGTTCACAGGAGCCCTTCCCATCGTCCGGTCACAGTAAATGGACCGGACATCGAAGTGGTTCAGTCCCACAAATACCTGGGAGTCCACTTGGACCACAGACACATGGACCACAGACACCTGGACCACAGACACCTGGACCACAGACACATGGACCACAGACACTTGGACCACAGACACCTGGACCACAGACACTTGGACCACAGACACCAGGACCACAGACACTTGGACCAAAGACACTTGGACCACAGACACCTGGACCACAGACACCTGGACCACAGACACCAGGACCACAGACACCTGGACCACAGACACCTGGACCACAGACACTTGGACCACAGACACCTGGACCACAGACACCTGGACCACAGACACTTGGACCAAAGACACCTGGACCACAGACACCTGGACCACAGACACCAGGACCACAGACACCAGGACCACAGACACCAGGACCACAGACACCAGGACCACAGACACTTGGACCAAAGACACTTGGACCACAGACACCTGGACCACAGACACCTGGACCACAGACACCAGGACCACAGACACCTGGACCACAGACACCTGGACCACAGACACCTGGACCACAGACACCAGGACCACAGACACCTGGACCACAGACACCTGGACCACAGACACCAGGACCACAGACACCTGGACCACAGGCACCTGGACCACAGACACCTGGACCACAGACACCTGGACCACAGACACCAGGACCACAGACACCTGGACCACAGACACCTGGACCACAGACACCTGGACCACAGACACCAGGACCACAGACACCTGGACCACAGGCACCTGGACCACAGACACCTGGACCACAGACACCTGGACCACAGACACCAGGACCACAGACACCTGGACCACAGACACTTGGACCAAAGACACTTGGACCATAGACACCTGGACCACAGACACCTGGACCACAGACACCAGGACCACAGACACCTGGACCACAGGCACCTGGACCACAGACACCAGGACCACAGACACCAGGACCACAGACACCAGGACCACAGACACCTGGACCACAGACACCTGGACCACAGACACCTGGACCACAGACACCTGGACCACAGACACCTGGACCACAGACACTTGGACCACAGACACCTGGACCACAGACACTTGGACCACAGACACCTGGACCACAGACACATGGACCACAGACACCTGGACCACAGACACCTGGACCACAGACACCTGGACCACAGACACCTGGACCACAGACACCTGGACCACAGACACCTGGACCACAGACACCTGGACCACAGACACCTGGACCACAGACACCTGGACCACAGACACCTGGACCACAGACACCAGGACCACAGACACCTGGACTACAGACACCTGGACCACAGACACTTGGACCACAGACACCTGGACCACAGACACCTGGACCACAGACACCTGGACCACAGACACCTGGACCACAGACACTTGGACCACAGACACTGGACACCTGGACCACAGACACTTGGACCACAGACACCTGGACCACAGACACCTGGACCACAGACACCTGGACCACAGACACCTGGACCACAGACACATGGACCACAGACACCAGGACCACAGACACCTGGACCACAGACACTTGGACCACAGACACTTGGACCACAGACACTTGGACCACAGACACCTGGACCACAGACACCTGGACCACAGACACCTGGACCACAGACACCTGGACCACAGACACCTGGACCACAGACACCTGGACCACAGACACCTGGACCACAGACACCCAGGACCACAGACACCTGGACCACAGACACTTGGACCACAGACACTTGGACCACAGACACCTGGACCACAGACACCTGGACCACAGACACCTGGACCACAGACACCTGGACCACAGACACCTGGACCACAGACACCAGGACCACAGACACCAGGACCACAGACACCAGGACCACAGACACCAGGACCACAGACACCTGGACCACAGACACCTGGACCACAGACACCAGGACCACAGACACCTGGACCACAGACACCTGGACCACAGACACTTGGACCACAGACACCTGGACCACAGACACCTGGACCACAGACACCTGGACCACAGACACCTGGACCACAGACACCTGGACCACAGACACCTGGACCACAGACACCTGGACCACAGACACCTGGACCACAGACACCTGGACCACAGACACCTGGACCACAGACACCTGGACCACAGACACCTGGACCACAGACACCTGGACCACAGACACCAGGACCACAGACACCTGGACCACAGACACTTGGACCACAGACACTTGGACCACAGACACCTGGACCACAGACACCTGGACCACAGACACCTGGACCACAGACACCTGGACCACAGACACCTGGACCACAGACACCTGGACCACAGACACCTGGACCACAGACACCAGGACCACAGACACCTGGACCACAGACACCTGGACCACAGACACCTGGACCACAGACACCTGGACCACAGACACATGGACCACAGACTGGACTGGTCAGCTCAGGCCCATTCTGTTACCTTTTCTCTGCACTTCTTAAAGTCTATATTTCTTAAGACAAAGGCTGAGCAGATGATTTGGAGTCTGGAGAAGGCCACACACACACACACACACACACACACACACACACACACACACATAGACGCGCACACACAGACACACACACACACACACACACACACACACACACACACACAGACACACCACCCACACACACAGACACACACACACGCGCACACACACACACACACACACAGACACACACACACACACACAGACGCACACACACACACAGACACACACACACACACACACACACACACACACACACACAGACACACAGACACACACACACACACACGCACACACACACACACACACACACACACACACACACACACACACACACACACACAGACACACACACACACAGACACACACTGCAGCAGAGTCTCTCTGTGGGGCGGTCCATTGTTGCCTCCAAAGCAGTTATTACCGAGGTCTCGCTCAGGACCCTCTGCCACTCACTCCATTATCTCATACTCACTCCACTCACACCGAAGCCCCGCACAACAATTCTGCACACCCATCTTTAATCAATCCTATGAAAAACTGTTTCTTTATTTAAGATTAAGATTAAGGGATCCTTTATTCCTCCCACGCTGGGGAAATGTCAGTGTTGCAGAACAGTAGGAATGAGGAGCACACAGCACAAGATAAAGGAATAATACCTCTATACTAAAACAAAATACAAGCTCTAACTTTAGCATAATAAAGAAGCTAGTCTAAAATCTAGCTTTAGCATAATAAAGAAGCTAGTATAAAATCTCTAGCTTTAGCATAATAAAGAAGCTAGTATAAAATCTCTAGCTTTAGCATAGTAAGTAAGTAGTACTGTATATTATATTTGTTAAATATATAGCCATATGTATACATCTGTACGTGTTAGCAGCACAAGGGTCTGGGCTGCACAGTGCACACATGGTTCTGTTTTTACACATTCTGACATAACTACAATTTATTCTCTAGAGCCCTATGAGTCACATGACTATTGTTCTCTCTGTATCTGGAAACTTGAAAAGGCTTAATAATGCTTAACTCGGCTCAGACTAAACCTGTCCAAGAAGAGAGAAAAAACTGAAAGATCGCTGATAAATGAACCGTCTGCAGCTCACCATTTTCACTAAAACACTTCTGCTTCGCTCTGAAATCTCCCAGAATAAAGTTACGATGTCAAAAAGTTTGGAAAGTTGAGGAGGAGAGGTGCGCGCCTTTCTATTTCTTCCCCCGGCCTCTGACGTAACGCTCTTCTCCGGGACACAGTGGAGCTTTGCTAAGGGCCAGATAACGGTGTTAGCGGAGCCCCACACCCGGGACATCAATCTCTCTCTAGTTTTCCTGCGGCGGTCTCTGAGCGACTTTTTTGTGGATTGCTTTTCGGGGCACCGCCGATCCGACAGCTAGCAAGGATTATTTGGCTAGGCCTAATTTGGCTGAACGGCTCCGGAGCGAATCCTTTTCAAAGCAGAATGCAAATCTGACATTGTTTTAACGAGGTGTTGAGAGTGTAATTGAGGTGATGTATCAGATGGAAGGCAGGCTGTTCTCCGTTCCGGGTAAAAGATGGGAAATTAAATTACTATTGTGGCGAGAGGAGTCGTCTAAGGACTCGGTTTATTTTTGGCTGTTTTTTTCTTAAATTCAATGATGATTTTTATGAGTTTTAACTGTAACTTGAACTTGACTTCAGCTGAAAAAACAGACTTTAATGATAATAATTTAGTTGACTATTACTACGACTAGTAATAGTAGTAGTACCTCTGTTGTAGTACTAGTAGTAGTAAGAGTAGTAGTAGTTAGTAGTAGTAGTAACACCTCTGCTGCTGTGACCTGAAGGGCTGTCGCTTATTCTTACTATTGTCAGCTTTTTAGAAATTATACATTTTTTATTTATTTTTGCTGCTACTGGACACTTGAATTTCAATAAAATCAATAAAGTATCTATCTATCAATCTATTTACTACTATTTCTGCCGCTACTGCTGCTACTGCTACTACTACTGCTACTACTGCTGCTACTGCTACTATTGTTACTGCTATTGATATTGCTAATGCTACTGCTACTGCAATTTCTACTACTTCCTACTATGACGTAATGGGCAGAGCTGTTGCATTCCTATGAAAACTGCTTTCCTACTACTTCTACTACTACTACTACTACTACTGATACTACTATTACTCCTATTACTACTACCCATTGCTTTGGAACAAGCAGCATGTTTGCAGAAAGTGGTGGACGAGAATGTACCTTTCCCTTTAGGAGGAATCAGTCGAACCAAGCCCTAACCCTGATCTCACTGCTGAAAATATTACAAATATTTAAAGAAATGCAGATATTTTATCCTGATTTGATCTGTAACCGGTTTGGCTTTATGTCAACTTGTTTTTCTAGATTAGTCACGTTCTAAGTCAGCTCTAGAGTGGACAGAACAGGTTCAAACATTGAGCCTTTTCTCAAACCCAGAACTTTAATATCCTCTGAAACAGAGCGCTTTTCTCTTCTTCTTTCTGACCTGACAACTGTACTGCGTGTCCTGCGTCTCTTTGTTTGGTGGTCCTGGCATGTCCGCATGTGTCCCCCCGTCCCGTATGCCCACCCACCCCCCCCCTATGCACCGCCCCTGGCTCTGCTGCCTGTGTCCCCGTGTCCCCCCCCCCCTGTGTGTTCCAGGAGAGCCAGTGGTTGGACAGTGTGTCTCTCATCATGAAGGACTCTCTGGAGGGGGAGATGCTGATGATCGATAACCTGTCGGGGTCCGTGTTCCACCACTACTCCGCCTCCCCCCCGCTCTGCAAGTGCTTCAAGGGCCACCCGCCAGAGGTACTCCGCCACCAGGGGGCAGCGGCTGGGCTCGCACACTCTACACGGTCCTGTTTTCAGTTCTTACCGTTCAGTACGTTTACAAAGCATAAGAATACAGAGGGCGTTAAAGGAGACGTATGATGCAAAATCAGCTTTAAACCAGTCACAAAGCAGACCTGGAGTTGTTTTTAGCTACATCCACACTGATATGAGGAACTTTATTTTATTTATTTTATTTTTTTATTCTGTCGGTGCACACAGAGTACCTTTCTTTGCAAATATATTCCAATGTAGTTTGTATACTGCACATGGCTAATAAAATGAATCTGAATCTGAATCTTTTGGCACAACCATATAACTCTGCCCCTTCTATCTGAAAGCTCCTGTGTGTATAGTATAGTATGATGTCATTGTACCACTATGACATCACTATGACATCATGGATGGTTAAAACTATGTATGATAATAATAATAATAATAATAATGCATTGGTTTTAAACAGCACATTCCTGGACACTCAAAGACGCTTCACATGTCATTATTCTTTCACTCCAAACACGATAAACTTCTACTGTTGCCACAGCTGCCCTGGGGCACACTGACAGAAGCGAGGTAACCAGTCTGTGCCATTGGCCCCTCCCACCACCATGTGGGTGAAGTGTCTTGCCTAAGGACACAAAAAAAGTTTGGCACTTTTCAGCCGCATTCGCCCCACTGTATGTTCCCAGGGGTCTCCCATCACAGTACTAACCAGGCCCTGCCCTGCTTAGTTTCAGAGGTCTGAGAGATCTGGCTTTCACCTGCAGGTATGGCCACATAAACCTCCTCTGGTGGTAGCAGAGATAGGGCAGGGCTGACAGTGGTGTTCATATTCTCTTCATTCTTTCTATGAACAGAAGAATAGCGTCATAATTGTTCTTTCCTTCTTTAAATCTGCCCCAGATGGAGCTTTGTGACGCTTTCAAAGGCGTCTTGTCTTAGCACTAACATTTTAGAACAATAATTTCTGTAATTTCAGTTCAAATTCTACAGCGCAAATGAATTCCTTTTGCCTCACATCACAAAACCAGAAATAAAAAATAAAAAACATGTGAACTTCACCAAAGTGACCCAAACCAGAGAGTGTCTCATACATCTGTCATAGAAAATTAGAAACATGGCTTCCTCTGAGCTCCTCATGCCTCTGAGCTCCTCATGCCTCTGGGCTCCTCATGCCTCTGAGCTCCTCATGCCTCTGGGCTCCTCATGCCTCTGGGCTCCTCATGCCTCTGAGCTCCTCATGCCTCTGGGCTCCTCATGCCTCTGGGCTCCTCATGCCTCTGAGCTCCTCATGCCTCTGAGCTCCTCATGCCTCTGGGCTCCTCATGCCTCTGAGCTCCTCATGCCTCTGGGCTCCTCATGCCTCTGCTGGCTCCTCATGCCTCTGAGCTCCTCATGCCTCTGAGCTCCTCATGCCTCTGAGCTCCTCATGCCTCTGAGCTCCTCATGCCTCTGGGCTCCTCATGCCTCTGAGCTCCTCATGCCTCTGAGCTCCTCATGCCTCTGAGCTCCTCATGCCTCTGAGCTCCTCATGCCTCTGGGCTCCTCATGCCTCTGAGCTCCTCATGCCTCTGGGCTCCTCATGCCTCTGGCTCCTCATGCCTCTGGCTCCTCATGCCTCTGAGCTCCTCATGCCTCTGAGCTCCTCATGCCTCTGAGCTCCTCATGCCTCTGAGCTCCTCATGCCTCTGAGCTCCTCATGCCTCTGGGCTCCTCATGCCTCTGGGCTCCTCATGCCTCTGGCTCCTCATGCCTCTGAGCTCCTCATGCCTCTGAGCTCCTCATGCCTCTGAGCTCCTCATGCCTCTGAGCTCCTCATGCCTCTGAGCTCCTCATGCCTCTGGGCTCCTCATGCCTCTGGGCTCCTCATGCCTCTGGGCTCCTCATGCCTCTGAGCTCCTCATGCCTCTGAGCTCCTCATGCCTCTGGGCTCCTCATGCCTCTGAGCTCCTCATGCCTCTGAGCTCCTCATGCCTCTGGGCTCCTCATGCCTCTGAGCTCCTCATGCCTCTGGGCTCCTCATGCCTCTGAGCTCCTCATGCCTCTGGGCTCCTCATGCCTCTGAGCTCCTCATGCCTCTGAGCTCCTCATGCCTCTGGGCTCGTCTCAGTCGTGGGGAGAGGTTCTGACCAGTGCTTTGTAAACGTACACATGGTTCATCCAAAACATCCATGGACTTGTTTCTGGTTCCGTCACGAACAGAAACTTCTGGAACAAAGTTGTCAAAGATCCTCAGACAATGACGTAAAAACCACTTTGAATCATTAGCTGCGTTTCCATTGAGCATCAAATTTCGAAATTTGAATTTGCGAATCATAAAATGTCTAATGGAAACGCGCAAATTTCAAATAAACCACAGTTTTTCGATAAAAAGTTAATGCGCTTAAAATAGGTGGTTTTTTGGACGTATCGAAATTAAGTTTTTCGCAAAACGGCGGCAATGGAAACACTTATTTCGATATAGCGGAGGAAGCCGAGCTGCTTTATTCAGTGAGTTTTGGCTGCGCTTCGTGTGGAGACTTGGGAGATACGTGGGAGAGGCATGGGGGAGAGACGGGGGAGAGGCATGGGGGAGAGACGGGGGAGAGGCATGGGGAGAGACGGGGGAGAGGCATGGGGGAGAGACGGGGGAGAGGCATGGGGGAGAGACGGGGGAGAGGCATGGGGGAGAGACATGGGGGAGAGACGGGGGAGAGGCATGGGGGAGAGACGGGGGAGAGGCATGGGGGAGAGACGGGGAAGAGGCATGGGGAGAGACGGGGGAGAGGCATGGGGGAGAGACGGGGGAGAGGCATGGGGGAGACGGGGGAGAGACGGGGGAGAGGCATGGGGGAGAGACGGGGAAGAGACGGGGGAGAGGCATGGGGGAGAGACGGGGGAGAGACGGGGGAGACAGGCAAGACCCGTGTCTATGGTTCTGTGGCGCGTCTATGGTCCGCGCTCGGTACATGACCACGCGCGTTCGCGGAGCTGTCAAAGCAGCCACAGTTTCTCCCGGGGTCAGAGGTCAGAGAGGATGAGAGCCGCAGCAGAAGTCAAGACATTAATATATCTCACGTAAATCAAAGTGTTGGTTACTTCTGTTGCCATGTTGACGTACTAGAAACTAGTGAATAAACGCGCGAAAATAGTGTATACTTATTCGAATATGTCTTAATGGAAACGGCCGCTTTTGCGAATTACAGGTTTTTCGAATTTTGAAATGTATCGAAAAAGTTTTTGCGCATTATTCAATGGAAACGCAGCTAGAGATGTTGGTTATAAACGTGTGCTTTTAAATACATTATTATTATATTTCAGATTCAGATTCATTTATTTGCCATTTGCAGTAAAACCACATTGGAAAACTGTGCAAGACTACCCCGGTGTGCACCACCGGGGTATATTTTAACAGGATTCACAAAGTAATGGAGCTGTTTCACTGCTCAGCTTCATTTATTCATCCATTATACATGTTTATCTATTTCCCAGACTGTTTGGGGCCAAATGTTTCCAAAAAATGCATAACTAATAAAGAACAAACAGAACAAGGAATTGCGCAACAAAGTTCTACAAAACACTAAAAACATTCAAATCATACAATTATTACACCTTCATTAAAACCATTCTACTGCTGTATCAAAAACATACAACTATAAACATATAAATAACATTACAAACGTTTTACTGCGATGAGTCACTGTTGTGAAGATCAGAAAAGTGCGATAATTTCTGAAAATGTTTTAATAGTTTAATATGAATTGTGCTTTTGGACCTTTGGATGTTCAGCTGTTCTTCTGGTTTAACTCTGTACAAAAATAATCATTCAATTTAAGTCACTGGAAATAAACCACAACAAAAACAACGCTGTCTCACAGAAATCTTTTTGGCTCTGGATCCACCAGCCACATTATGAAAATCCTCTTCTTTCTAGCAGTTTGTCTCCAAAGTTAAACTCTTGTCTTGATTTACATTTTATGCATTTTTCTTCTACTTTATTGTCACCTCTAAAGCATCTTGGGTCTCGCTCTGCGCATGAATAATGCATGTCCACCCAGAAAAACAAAGTAGTCGTTGAATGCATTTCTTATTTCCTGAATCATGTTTACACAAAGCCACAGTTTGCAGAATGCATGCCCCAATAACTGTCTCCTAGCAGGGCCGCTTCTAGCTTCAAGGGGGCCCTGTTCAAGATGCTGTGCCTGGATTCAGGGCCAGACGTAATCATTTACATTTAGACTCTAAGGAGCTTACTGTCAGCAACTGTTCAATAGATTCATAAAATGGTTTGGATCCTTCTGTCTTGCGGGCCCCTTTGTCTAGAGACGGCCCTGTGTGTGGTTACTGTATTTCTCTGTTGTGTCCTGAACTGTCGTCTGCAGGAAATGTTGTGTAAGAGTCTCCTCACGTTGTGTCCTGTGTCGGTGTTGTCCATCACTGGGACAATCGTGGGTCAGAAGATACAGTCTGCGACGTCCTGTCCCGGGCGCTGTCTCTGCTGCCGCTGTCAAAGCCATCAGTCTCCTCCTCTCTCTCTCTCTCTCTCTCTGTCTCTCTCTCTTTGTCTCTCTCTCTCTCTCTCTCTCTCTCTCTCTCTTTGTCTCTCTCTCTCTCTCACTCTCTCTCTTTCTCTCCTCTCTCTCTCTCTGTCTCTCTCTCTCTCTCTCTCTCTCTCTCTCTGTCTCTCTCTGTCTCTCTCTCTCTCTCTCTCTCTCTCTCTCTCTCTCTCTCTCTCTCTCTCTCTCTCTGTCTCTCTCTGTCTCTCTCTCTCTCTCTCTCTCTCTCTCTCTCTCTCTCTCTCTCTCTCTCTCTCTCTCTCTCTCTCTCTCTCTCTCTCTCTCTCTCTCTCTCTGTCTCTCTCTGTCTCTCTCTCTCTGTTACATGCATCTCTTCCCGTTCCTTGCCTTTCCACTGTTTGACTGTACATTGTTGAGCTGTTGAAGGCGGTGGGTGTTCTTTAGTCATGTTAGTGTCCGGGTGAGTCTGACTCTGTACACGCCGCTCCTCGGCAAAGCGCGCTGAGGCTGTTGCTGCTCCCTCTGTGCAATCTGTAGAGGACCGTGGGGTAGAGCCCTGCACGGGCCTATTATCTGGGCCCGAGCCCGGCCCTGGCCCGAGGGGGTGGCTCCCCAGCCCGGCCCGGCCCGATATGGTTTCTGAATTTTCAGACCCGAAACCCGCATCAAGCCCGACTTTTTTTTGTGTGTGTAACCTCCCATAACAATGTTTTAGCGTAGTATATAGTACCGCGCACTGATATGAACACAGACTTAGCTGGAGGGCGGAGTTATACATGGTAGTGATGTGTTGCAATGAGTTCTGTGTGTGCGGAGTGAACGGCCGCAGCTGTATGATACACAGCTGTATGATACACAGCTGTATGATACACAGCTGTATGATACACAGCTGTATGATACACAGCTGTATGATACACAGCTGTATGATACACAGCTGTATGATACACAGCTGTATGATGCCCAGATGCTGCAACACACTTGTAAGTAACGCTATGTGCCGTCAATGACAACACTACACAGAACAACAAACACTACAGCGTGATAGAACGCTATATTCAGTGGGTGCGTTCGTAAATGAATTCTGCCGCTCTGAAAATGAAGAGCCCGAGCCCGGCCCGTGTCCGAGGTCATTATGCGGTCATCGGCCCGAAGGGCCAAGGGCTCAAGTGCAGGGCTCTACCGTGGGGGCCAGAAGACCGTAGGGGCCAGAGGGCTGTAGGGGCCAGAGGACTGTAGAGCAGCAACAGTCAGATGTGTCCTCGTGGTCTCTATGGCTGTGCTCAGACCAGACTTTATAAAAGAAAAAAGTATTTCCAGCTTCACTGTCAAACCTTCTAATGTTTAATAACTGCTGTGTGTGTGAAGCTGATCTAGTGCCAAGAGCCGTTATCACAAACATGTTTCCCATGTGTTTTGACACGTCAGTGCACGGCCAACAATACGCCACGCTCTTACTCTGGGCTCGATTAGCGCGGCGCGGCTGCGGTGTAGAGGCTGCGGTGCAGAGGCTGCGGTGCAGAGGGGAGGCTGCGGTGCAGAGGGGAGGCTGCGGGGCAGAGGCTGCGGGGCAGAGGCTGCGGGGCAGAGGCTGCGGGGCAGAGGCTGCGGGGCAGAGGCTGCGGGGCAGAGGCTGCGGGGCAGAGGCTGCGGTGCAGAGGGGAGGCTGCGGGGCAGAGGCTGCGGGGCAGAGGCTGCGGGGCAGAGGCTGCGGGGCAGAGGCTGCGGTGCAGAGGGGAGGCTGCGGTGCAGAGGGGAGGCTGCGGCGCAGAGGCTGCGGTGCAGAGGGGAGGCTGCGGGGCAGAGGCTGCGGGGCAGAGGCTGCGGGGCAGAGGCTGCGGTGCAGAGGGGAGGCTGCGGGGCAGAGGCTGCGGGGCAGAGGCTGCGGGGCAGAGGCTGCGGGGCAGAGGCTGCGGGGCAGAGGCTGCGGTGCAGAGGGGAGTCTGCGGTGCAGAGGGGAGGCTGCGCGGGGCAGAGGCTGCGGGGCAGAGGCTGCGGGGCAGAGGCTGCGGGGCAGAGGCTGCGGTGCAGAGGGGAGTCTGCGGTGCAGAGGGGAGGCTGCGGGGCAGAGGCTGCGGGGCAGAGGCTGCGGGGCAGAGGCTGCGGGGCAGAGGCTGCGGGGCGGAGGCGGGGCGGGGCGGAGGCTGCGGGGCGGAGGCTGCGGGGCAGAGGCTGCGGGGCAGAGGCTGCGGGGCAGAGGCTGCGGGGCAGAGGCTGCGGGGCAGAGGCTGCGGGGCAGAGGCTGCGGGGCATAGGCTGCGGTGCAGAGGGGAGTCTGCGGTGCAGAGGGGAGGCTGCGGGGCAGAGGCTGCGGGGCAGAGGCTGCGGGGCAGAGGCTGCGGGGCAGAGGCTGCGGGGCAGAGGCTGCGGGCAGAGGCTGCGGGCAGAGGCTGCGGGGCAGAGGCTGCGGGGCAGAGGCGGGGGCAGAGGCTGCGGGGCAGAGGCTGCGGGGCAGAGAGGCAGGCTGCGGGGCAGAGGCTGCGGTGCAGAGGGGAGTCTGCGGTGCAGAGGGGAGTCTGCGGGGCAGAGGCTGCGGGGCAGAGGCTGCGGGGCAGAGGCTGCGGGGCAGAGGCTGCGGGGCAGAGGCTGCGGGGCAGAGGCTGCGGGGCAGAGGCTGCGGGGCAGAGGCTGCGGGGCAGAGGTTGTGGCGTGCTGTTCCTCGCTTCTATAACAGCCGCACATCTCAGATTAGCCCTGCAGCGCACGGCTGCGCAACTCTGGGCCTGAGCGTGGACCATGGATCTATTATAACTGGATACGGTATGACAGCCTGCAGCTGCAGGACCCATGTGGCGACCCCGCTCCCATCTCTGTGTGGAGTGAGAGACAAATGCCCAAAAAAACCCCATTGTAAACCGCTTTGTGACTCTGGTCTGTGAAAGGCAGTATATAAATAAGGATTACTTACTTACTTACAGTATTTACCATGTGCTCGCGGGATTCTCGCGGCCAAGCCCCTCTGTGCACGTGCATGAGAGCCACACACTTGTCCACTGCACAGAACCGGGAGGACCAGACAATGCCCAAATATGGGCAAGTTCCGCTAATCTCTCGGCCCCCATGGTGGCACTAAAGGGACTAAAATCCCCAGGAAATCCAACTTTTGTGAAAGCTGTAGGTTCTCTGTCAGGTTCTTTGTTAGGTTCTCTGTCAGGTTCTCTGTCAAGTTCTCTGTCAGGTTCTCTGTAGGTTCTCTGTAGGTTCTCTGTTAGGTTCTCTGTCAGGTTCTCTGTCAGGTTCTCTGTCAGGTTCTCTGTCAGGTTCTCTGTCAGGTTCTCTGTCTGGTTCTCTGTAGGTTCTCTGTTAGGTTCTCTGTCAAGTTCTCTGTCAGGTTCTCTGTCAGGTTCTCTGTCAGGTTCTCTGTCAAGTTCTCTGTCAAGTTCTCTGTCAGGTTCTCTGTAGGTTCTCTGTCAGGTTCTCTGTCATGTTCTCTGTCAGGTTCTCTGTCAGGTTCTCTGTCAGGTTCTCTGTCAAGTTCTCTGTCAAGTTCTCTGTTAGGTTCTCTGTCAGGTTCTCTGTCAAGTTCTCTGTCAGGTTCTCTGTAGGTTCTCTGTCAGGTTCTCTGTCAGGTTTTCTGTAGGTTCTCTGTCAGATTCTCTGTCAGGTTCTCTGTAGGTTCTCTGTAGGTTCTCTGTCAGGTTTTTTGTAGGTTCTCTGTAGGTTCTCTGTCAGGTTCTCTGTCAGGTTTTCTGTAGGTTCTCTGTCAGGTTCTCTGTCAGGTTCTCTGTAGGTTCTCTGTCAGGTTCTCTGTCAGGTTCTCTGTAGGTTCTCTGTAGGTTCTCTGTAGGTTCTCTGTCAGGTTCTCTGTCAGGTTTTCTGTAGGTTCTCTGTCAGGTTCTCTGTCAGGTTCTCTGTAGGTTCTCTGTAGGTTCTCTGTCAGGTTCTCTGTCAGGTTCTCTGTCAGGTTCTCTGTCAGGTTCTCTGTCAGGTTCTCTGTCAGGTGCTCTGTCAGGTGCTCTGTCAGGTTCTCTGTCAGGTTCTCTGTCAGGTTCTCTGTAGGTTCTCTGTCAGGTTCTCTGTCAGGTTTTCTGTCAGGTTCTCTGTAGGTTCTCTGTCAGGTTCTCTGTCAGGTTCTCTGTCAGGTTCTCTGTTAGGTTCTCTGTCAAGTTCTCTGTCAGGTTCTCTGTCAGGTTCTCTGTCAGGTTCTCTGTCAGGTTCTCTGTCAAGTTCTCTGTCAAGTTCTCTGTTAGGTTCTCTGTAGGTTCTCTGTCAGGTTCTCTGTCAGGTTCTCTGTCAAGTTCTCTGTCAAGTTCTCTGTCAGGTTCTCTGTAGGTTCTCTGTCAGGTTCTCTGTCAGGTTTTCTGTCAAGTTCTCTGTCAGGTTCTCTGTAGGTTCTCTGTCAGGTTCTCTGTCAGGTTTTCAGTAGGTTCTCTGTCAGGTTCTCTGTCAGTTTCTCTGTAGGTTCTCTGTAGGTTCTCTGTAGGTTCTCTGTCAGGTTCTCTGTAGGTTCTCTGTAGGTTCTCTGTCAGGTTCTCTGTCAGGTTTTCTGTAGGTTCTCTGTCAGGTTCTCTGTCAGGTTCTCTGTAGGTTCTCTGTCAGGTTCTCTGTAGGTTCTCTGTAGGTTCTCTGTAGGTTCTCTGTCAGGTTCTCTGTCAGGTTTTCTGTAGGTTCTCTGTCAGGTTCTCTGTCAGGTTCTCTGTAGGTTCTCTGTAGGTTCTCTGTCAGGTTCTCTGTCAGGTTTTCTGTAGGTTCTCTGTCAGGTTCTCTGTCAGGTTCTCTGTAGGTTTTCTGTAGTTTCTCTGTCGTGTTCTCTGTCAGGTTCTCTGTCAGGTGCTCTGTCAGGTGCTCTGTCAGGTTCTCTGTCAGGTTCTCTGTCAGGTTCTCTGTCAGGTTCTCTGTAAGGTTCTCTGTCAGGTTCTCTGTAGGTTCTCTGTCAGGTTCTCTGTCAGGTTCTCTGTCAGGTTCTCTGTTAGGTTCTCTGTCAAGTTCTCTGTCAAGTTCTCTGTCAGGTTCTCTGTCAGGTTCTCTGTCAAGTTCTCTGTCAGGTTCTCTGTCAGGTTCTCTGTCAGTTCTCTGTCAGGTTCTCTGTCAGGTTCTCTGTCAGGTTCTCTGTCAGGTTTTCAGTAGGTTCTCTGTAGGTTCTCTGTCAGGTTCTCTGTAGGTTCTCTGTAGGTTCTCTTGTAGGTTCTCTGTCAGGTTCTCTGTCAGGTTTTCTGTAGGTTCTCTGTCAGGTTCTCTGTCAGGTTCTCTGTCAGGTTCTCTGTAGGTTCTCTGTAGGTTCTCTGTCAGGTTCTCTGTCAGGTTTTCTGTAGGTTCTCTGTCAGGTTCTCTGTCAGGTTCTCTGTAGGTTCTCTGTCAGGTTCTCTGTAGGTTCTCTGTCAGGTTCTCTGTCAGGTTCTCTGTAGGTTCTCTGTCAGGTTCTCTGTCAGGTTCTCTGTAGGTTCTCTGTAGGTTCTCTGTTAGGACATTGAGAATTAGCTTTGGCTAAAATGTTGTAGTATGTAACATGAGCTTATGTGACATACTTGTCCCTATTCAAATAAACTTAAATAAAATAAAAATTAAATAAAAGGTTCTCTGTCAGGTTCTCTGTCAGGTTCTCTGTAGGTTCTCTGTCAGGTTCTCTGTCAGGTTCTCTGTAGGTTCTCTGTCAGGTGCTCTGTCAGGTTCTCTGTCAGGTTCTCTGTCAGGTTCTCTGTCAGGTTCTCTGTCAGGTTCTCTGTCAGGTTTTCTGTCAGGTTCTCTGTAGGTTCTCTGTCAGGTTCTCTGTCAGGTTCTCTGTCAGGTTCTCTGTCAGGTTCTCTGTCAGGTTCTCTGTAGGTTCTCTGTCAGGTTCTCTGTCAGGTTCTCTGTCAGGTTCTCTGTAGGTTCTCTGTAGGTTCTCTGTAGGTTCTCTGTTAGGTTCTCTGTCAGGTTCTCTGTCAGGTTCTCTGTAGGTTCTCTGTCAGGTGCTCTGTCAGGTGCTCTGTCAGGTTCTCTGTCAGGTTCTCTGTCAGGTTCTCTGTAGGTTCTCTGTCAGGTTCTCTGTCAGGTTTTCTGTCAGGTTCTCTGTCAGGTTCTCTGTCAGGTTCTCTGTAGGTTCTCTGTCAGGTTCTCTGTCAGGTTCTCTGTCAGGTTCTCTGTCAGGTGCTCTGTCAGGTTCTCTGTAGGTTCTCTGTCAGGTTCTCTGTCAGGTTCTCTGTCTGGTTCTCTGTAGGTTCTCTGTTAGGTTCTCTGTCAAGTTCTCTGTCAGGTTCTCTGTCAGGTTCTCTGTCAGGTTCTCTGTCAAGTTCTCTGTCAAGTTCTCTGTTAGGTTCTCTGTCAGGTTCTCTGTCAAGTTCTCTGTCAGGTTCTCTGTAGGTTCTCTGTCAGGTTCTCTGTCAGGTTCTCTGTCAAGTTCTCTGTCAGGTTCTCTGTAGGTTCTCTGTCAGGTTCTCTGTCAGGTTTTCAGTAGGTTCTCTGTCAGGTGCTCTGTCAGGTTCTCTGTAGGTTCTCTGTAGGTTCTCTGTCAGGTTTTCTGTAGGTTCTCTGTAGGTTCTCTGTAGGTTCTCTGTCAGGTTCTCTGTCAGGTTTTCTGTCAGGTTCTCTGTCAGGTTCTCTGTCAGGTTCTCTGTAGGTTCTCTGTCAGGTTCTCTGTCAGGTTCTCTGTCAGGTTCTCTGTCAGGTTCTCTGTCAGGTTCTCTGTAGGTTCTCTGTCAGGTTCTCTGTCAGGTTTTCTGTAGGTTCTCTGTCAGGTTCTCTGTCAGGTTCTCTGTAGGTTCTCTGTAGGTTCTCTGTTAGGACATTGAGAATTAGCTTTGGCTAAAATGTTGTAGTATGTAACATGTAGTAGTAGTAGTAGTAATCTTTATTTATATACCGCCTTTTCACTGCACATCGGAGTCTCAAAGCGGTTTACAATTGTTATTTTTTGGGAGCAGGGGGCCAGTACAGGAGGCACATGCCAGACCTATTGTACATATTTTTAGTGGTAGGGGAAACCGGAGCACCCAGAGGAAACCTACGCAGACACAGGGAGAACATGCAAACTCCACTCAGAAAGGCCCTGGTCCAACCGGGATTTGAACCCAGGACCTTCTTGCTGAGAGGCGAGAGTGCTATCCACTCAGCCACCGTGCCGACATGAGCTTATGTGACATACTTGTCCCTATTCAAATAAACTTAAATAAAATAAAAATTAAATAAAAGGTTCTCTGTCAAGTTCTCTGTCAGGTTCTCTGTAGGTTCTCTGTCAGGTTCTCTGTCAGGTTCTCTGTAGGTTCTCTGTCAGGTGCTCTGTCAGGTTCTCTGTCAGGTTCTCTGTCAGGTTCTCTGTCAGGTTCTCTGTCAGGTTCTCTGTCAGGTTCTCTGTAGGTTCTCTGTCAGGTTTTCTGTCAGGTTCTCTGTAGGTTCTTTGTCAGGTGCTCTGTCAGGTTCTCTGTAGGTTCTCTGTCAGGTTCTCTGTCAGGTTCTCTGTAGGTTCTCTGTCAGGTTCTCTGTCGGGTTCTCTGTAGGTTCTCTGTCAAGTTCTCTGTCAGGTTCTCTGTAGGTTCTCTGTAGGTTCTCTGTCAGGTTCTCTGTAGGTTCTCTGTCAGGTTCTCTGTCAGGTTCTCTGTCGGGTTCTCTGTAGGTTCTCTGTCAAGTTCTCTGTCAGGTTCTCTGTAGGTTCTCTGTAGGTTCTCTGCCAGGTTCTCTGTAGGTTCTCTGTCAGGTTCTCTGTCAGGTTCTCTGTCAGGTGCTCTGTCAGGTGCTCTATCAGGTTCTCTGTCAGGTTCTCTGTAGGT